TGTCCCTCTCTGTTTCTCTCTCTCTCTCTCTCTCTCTCTCTCTCTCTCTCTCTCTCTCTCTCTCTCTTATTCTCTCGTTGTCTATCCGTAAGACGCTTTCGCGTGATCAATATATTTTCATTGATATTTCCCTCGCGATAACGGACGCGTAAAATTGGCTGAGCGCCGCGTGCTTTCGTCGCGCTTCGTAAACTTGTTTCTCTTCAACGTAGGCGGACAAGCGGAAGTAAGGATTCGTCATCGCGCGCGCGTCTCTCTCCGATTCGACGAATTCCTCGAGGACAACGTTTCCCTCGGTCAGGTCGGGACGAGTCGAGCGTTTTCCTTTTGTCTCCATTTCCGGTGCGTTTCTTTCTCTCCCCGTCGAGGGAATTGTCGTTCGTTTTATGGGAACGCGATAATCTTGGACCCCTCTCGCGGGATTTCCGTAGCAGCGCGCAGCCTTACGATTCGGAAGGCGAGAAAAACTCGCGAGCTCTTCTCCTCTACGGATCATTCCGTTGCTCGAGAGACGCTCCATTAAGCTTCTTCCAGGATTTTTTGCTCGGTAAAAAGACGCGGAACCGAGATTCGCTGCGCAGCAGCGATTCCATCTGGTCGCCTATCCTTCGTTCATTCTCTTTTCCATGGTCGTCTCCTCGTTCTCTTTTCGACGATCATTTCGCAAAAACGTGCTCTCTTACGCCTCGGCTAAGGATTCATTGTTGCCTATTTCTCGAACGCGTAATTCGCCGTGTTCGCGCGAATTTCCCTTCGTTCTACCTCAGTCTGTGCGATCGATCTCCGGAGGAGCAGTCGAAATGGGTAGACGTGGTCGAGTAGCGTTCAAACATCGCGATCGTCGCTGGAATAAGAATATCGATCGGCGACTTGCTCGAAGCCGCGTAACCTCGATTTCAACGAACGCTACGTGTCTACGCGTCTACCATGGTATACGTGTCGCAACCGGGACGAAATATTCTTCCGTCTCGCAGGGGACCTCCTTATTACTCATAGCTTTCTCCGTTCTCGCTGACACTCCGGTCCATTCTCTCGTTCTCCAACCGGAAGCCGAGAATGTCCTGAAAGGATGAACAACGACGACGACGACGACGACGACGAGGGCCGTGAGCATCTCTCAGCTCATTCACCCAAGAAGGGAAGCGCTTTCTTCAACTTGGCGCGACATCTTTCGAGACGTCAGGTCGCGAGGTACGTCGCACGCGAAAAAAAGAAAAAAACCCTCATCAATTTTCGTTTTGTAGCCACGTCATCGCCACAGCAGTCTGAAAATTTGAACAGATACGCTGTTCGAAACGCAAAGAATTCAGGGAAACGGACGAGACTGGTTTTAGTAGTTAGTAGCGAGTCGGCGGCGGCTGCGGCGGCTCGAGGGGAAGGAGGTGGATTACGTTTACGCGGTCGGACTCTTTTATTACGCTGGTTGCCGCGATTCGCGTACCTTTCATCGATCCAGCCACTATTCGAGTGTTTGCCGTGCCCTCGAGTCGGCTGCCATCCGTTTTACTATTTGGATATTGCTGTCGTTATCCGAATAGAGGACGGTCCATACGGTTGGCTACCGCGTCGCGACCACCTTTTTCCAGGCAGACTCTCCGGACGGATATAGCTTGGTGAAAAACCACGTAAAAGCAACCGTAGAAGTGGACAAGATAAAAGGAGGTGGAATCGTGGAAGACGCGGCCCGATGAGGAAGAAAGAAAACGGCGGCGATGATGGTGCACAACTTCGTTTTTAAGTAATTGCCGACCCTTTCGAGTGCTTTCATCGAGACGAAACGAAAAGCGCGCGAGCCTCCGTTCACTGCGAGCATTTCTGGAGTCTCGATTAAGCGATTAAACGAACCCCCTCCGGGCTGCTGCCGTATTTAATTTACCGCCATTCTCCGCCTACTACTCTGGAATTTTTTCCATTCTTTTTCCTCTCCATCCGATCGCGCTACCTATCCTTTATCCCCCCTCCCGTCGCTCCATCTTTGTCTCTCCTCCCTGCATTTTCTTATCCCGTCACCGCTCTCTTATTGTTCGCTATGCGTCGCCAACTACTGACGGAAATCGAGCCACAACGAAAGGCGAATCGATTATATCCTCCGGTTCGAAAGAAATTTCGACCTGTCTCGTCTCACGGGTTATACAGTCCGAACGGTAGAGCGGAAGGCGGACCATCTGCCAAAGGAGAAGAACCACCACCACGACGATGCTGCATCGACGTTTATCGGTGACTCGGAACGGACTCGATTCGGGTGACACTTGACAGCTCGTTAACTCCTTTCCCCGACAGGAGAAATCGTGGTCACGCTCGTCTATTCCGGCTGTCAAGCCGGCACACGGTGCACCAATTTTCGCGCACAATTTTCCGCGTGAATCTGTCTCGGCCGAATTTACTTCGATGCCAGTATCATCCCTTTGCCTCTGTCCTTTCGGTCTCGCGTTTCACTTCCTATGCCCGTACATTCTGGCCATCCGCCAGAATTAATTCCTACTCCTCAGACTAGCTCCAACTACAACCCATCTCCGACCGGTTTCTTGCCATTCCGTTCGCGATAGTGATATTTAAAAAACACTTCTCCTTAGCAGTTCTACGTGACAAAAATCACTTTCCCTCTGGCTCGATAAAACGCTACCAACCGAGGAAGAGGAAACGACGTTTGTATCGTCGCGAGAAATTCTAGCAAACAACGATCGATGTCTAATATCTATTTCCATCTGTTTCCTTTTCAGACAGAATGCAGCCGTCTGCTCGATGGTAATAGAAGAGAAAGAGAGAAGAAAAAAAGAGGAAAATAGAGGAAGACAAGTTGGAGTTGAAGAAAAAGAAGGGTAGAAGGAGGCTGGACAGTGATTTCGTCCATCTCGATAGACGCCGGAGAAAACGGCAGGTGTTCGTTGCGGAGCAGCTGCAATCACGACCACCATCTGCCGCAGTAATGCACGCCTCTTCCAAGTCTCCAGTCTCGGAGAAGCGAGACTCGTTGCCCGAGGCATCCATCCTCAATTAGACGCCACCTGAAACACGTGCCCCTCTTGAATCCATGGATTTCGATGGCTTCTTTCTTCTCCTCTCCTTATCTCATTCTCCTTCTCAATTCCTCTTCCTACTCGATCCTGGGTTCTTCTTTGCTGGTTTTCTGCTTCCTATCTCCACGTTCCATGGCTTCCTTCCTTTTTTCGACGCCACGCGTCATTATCCTTTGCTTCCTGGTACAGTGCCGATGTCATCGATCACCGATCGCTGTTTTTCACCGCGACGTGTCGTGACAGTTGGCAAGCACCAGGGCTTTGCACGAGCGTAAAAACAACCCTGACACGCGCTGTCGTGGAAAATGTGAATCCGAACAAGAGTTCCCGAATATCAACGTTGTCCCATCCACAAGTACACTTGTTGGAATAAAGTTAATTTTTGAAATCAAAATTCCATTTTTATTCTTGTTCGTCTATCCTGAAATTACGAAAGGATATTACAATTCAAACTCTAGTTGAACAAAATGTTAACATGCTTCACTGAATTGATGGTAAGTATTGTACAAGTCGCGTTTGGAATAGTTCTCTACTTTGCCGACTTCGTCGACAATAACTCAGCAAACGGACATGTGGCGATCTCTACATTACATCAGCGTTTACCACGTTTACTTGCTTATCTTCTTCAAAGATAAAAATATCGTTAACGCAAAATATTATCTTTTATTAAATATTTATTAAAAGTCAATTCAAGGAGACAATTGTAAATTACATATTACTTTGCGTTTCTCCCAATCACCGTGGTAATATTCTAGTTTGATTTGGTGGGAATTCTTCCATTTCGTTCCATTTCTTGCTTCAATTTATATTTTTGTATCTTCCCGCTCGCTGTTTTCGGATATTCCGTTACGAACTCTACGTAACGAGGCACTTTGAAACGAGCTATACGACTCTTGCAGTACTCTCTCAACTCCTCTTTTTTCATACTCGCGCCTTCTCGAAGACGCACGCATGCGCACACTTCCTCCCCGTAAACTTCGTCGTAGGCGCCTATAACATATGCCTCAGTCACTAGAGGGTGTGTCATTAATACATCCTCGATCTCCTGCAACGTGATTCATTAAATAAAAAGCGTTGAATATAGCAACGAATCTAGGCGCCTAGATTTACCTTTGGAAAAATATTTTCACCTCCCCGAATCAACATGTCTTTCAGCCTTCCAATTATTTGTCCATAACCATCCGATCTTAAGACAAATTGATCGCCGGTCTTCAACCATCCATCTTTGGTAATGGTCTTCTTCGTCGCATCTTCGTCGTGCCAGTACTTCATCATATTGCAGTACCCTCGAATCCAGAGTTCTCCGGGAGTACCGAATGGCACAACGTTCCCGTTCTCATCGACAACCTTTTCGAAGGAGAAAGAATTTTCAAAGGAAAAGAAAATATCTATTTCGTGAATAATAAATACCAGATTTCGTACGACTTTTTATTTACCATAGCTTCAACGTGATTGGCTAAATGACCAACTGTATTATTCGTTAATTCGGCGCTTTCGTTGGCCAATGATTCAAAGATGATCCCCGTCGTCTCTGTGAGCCCGTATATCGTCTGTCAAACATCGGGAATCGGTAATTCGTAAGTTCGTACAGGGAAACACGGTGAATGGTAACGATTCACGACGTACGAAGAACCTCGGAACCCGATTTCGCGAAAGAGAACGTTATTGATCGAAGCGAAGAAACGATATTTCTCCTCGTGGAATCGTATTCATGCATACGAACCGAGGAGTTGCCTGTGCAAGATATGTGCATAGATAACACGGGGAACACGACGCGTTATGTCGAGCCGAATTAAGTACGATCCTGTCGTCGTGTCGACGACCTTCGTCAAGTTTTTTTCTACGAATTTTGAAAATCATATCCATTAACCGATAATCTAACTTTACAGTTATTACATATACGTGCATATGCATTGTATACTTTACTTTCATATTGTACAATTTGTAGTCATAAATACAATTACCTTGAACATCGAGGCGCGCTTGCACACGTTCCTTCGAAGAACGAGTCTGTTTAATTAAAATAACATGGTCCGAGGTTCTATTATAAATTTCGCGCTCGAATCGATGCCACGAGTCTGTTCGTTACCTTGATATTGTCAAAGTTGAAGCATTCTCTTATTGTGTTGAAAAGTTGCGGCGACGCAGGGGAACCACCGGTGACACCGCACGCTAAAGTTATTGGCGGCGGTTGAAGTTGTTGATGAACATCCAATAAATTAATCTGTCGCGAATAACGACAATGTCGGGTAATAATACACGAACAAACGAGAATTTTATTTGTTTATCGCACTACTTACCCACATCGTCGGAGTACCGTAAACGACATTGCACTTCTCTCGTATTATTGCATTTAACGATTTTACAGGATTAAATGAAGGGCTTGGTAACACAAGCGTGAGACCAGCGTGAAACATGCACAATAATCCTTTAAGAATGCCAAACGCGTGAAAAAACGGAACGTTTAGGCAAACTTTTTGTCCGACGTTGAACTCTGCTCTTATGGCAGCCTAAACAATTGAAATTCCGAAAAAATGATGTGACATTGTATTCAATCGAGCGTTGTTGAAATAATCTGGTAACCGATACTACCTGTTTCGAATTGTTCACCAAACAGCTATGTGACAGCAGAGTGGCTTTTGGTTTGCCAGTGGTTCCCGAAGTGAATTGTATGTTACTACCATTATAACAAGATATTTGATCCTGTTCTGCCGCGATTCGCTCAACCTCGATCCTGGATGCGAGCTGCTCCACATCGTTGAAACGACGAGTCCCACTGCAAACAATTAAAAACCCGTTGGTCGATCGCGAGAAAAAAAAATGGCAATGCATAGTAGAAACGAAATCGAAGTGTACGTAACGCAGGGTAGCGGCTGACCATTAACCTAATTGCATGTCAGTGATTCCCTTTCGCAGAAGATTATTAATCAAATTGAACCGATGATCAGGCAAAACTTTGAAAAGTTAGGTACGAGACACGAGTGAAAATAGATCGAGCGGGCAAGGGTGGTGTTAAACTATTAATCGGTTTGTCAATCGGTATAGCCTATCTGATTGTGGCGTGAAATTACAGGACTCGACGTCGCGCTTTTAGGAAATTACCAAGCGTTTCGGCTAACCCGTTTCCGCCCTTTCGTTCGAATTACTATCGATTTGCGATTCGATCTCATTCGTGAGATTCGCTTCGAATCGACGAAACGAAAACGAAAGGAATGACCGTGTATATCACGTAGTGCATACGAATCATTTGTACGGTCGCGATAGTAAACCCACGCGTCGTGATCCAGCGATTATTCTAACTAACCAAGTCGAGTGGAAACTGTGCGTTGCCGCATATCGTACGCGATATTCATGATTAGTCAACAAATCGCGCGAGAACCAGAGAACGAGCATACATTAAAACAGCATTCGCGGGCGACCTCGTCCGATCTAACTTATCACTTGGAATGACCGACCGCGACGAATTTACCTCGCGTAGAGGCTCGATACGACCGCGTTTCCTAAGGACAAAGGATTTACGTACTTGATCGCGTCCGACCTGTCCCTTTATCGACCGGCCGGTGCCGGATACCAAGAGTTATCGCGCGTTGTCCCTCCCCTCGCTTAAATTAGACAAAATTCCAAGGAAACTCGGATATATCATTCGCGGGAGATAGAGTCACATCGGTTCGTTCCAGGGGACGATTCGTTTCGTATATGTAGGATTTAGAAATTGTAAACAATCATGCTGGACGTTTCCTTACGTCACGTGATCCTTCGAATAGATAATTATGTGCTCCAAAGTGGAGCACGTTTGCCGGACTTGTAGTAGCATGCGTGAATAATCTTGTGTTTTAAAATTGTCAGGTGATATCACAGCCTTTACGCCGACCTTTTGTATGCAATAGTTGAGCTCATCCAGTTGGAAGTTAGGATTGATCGCGACAAGAATGAAATCCCCTCTGCTAGCGCATATGAAGGTAATTAACCATTCAACGTCGTTAGGACCCCAGATTCCAAGACGATCGCCGCGTTTCATACCCAGTTTCATTAAACCGGCAGCTAAACGATCAGCACGTCGAACGACGTCCGAAAATGTCAGCCGTACGTTTTGATGTAGCGATATCACGCATTCTCGATCAGGCCACTTTTCTGCTGCTATCTCCACTAACTTTCCAATGGGCTCGTCGGTCAAAGGCACATTTCCATGCTGCACCATGTGCGCAGCCGTTCCTTCGTGAAACAATCGAGATCGTTGATCCGAAACGTTACGTAATTTCCAAGCTTGAAGACACATTACACAAAAACACGCTTAGATAACTTGTTTCTCGTTAGAGTTATACGCTCTTTCTATAAATATCTCGTTACTCACCAAGTAATGGATTCTCTGCACCGCAAATATTTCTCTGACGTACATAGAAATTTGTGATTCGAAACAGAGACGAACTCGTGGTTATTGAAAAACGAACCATTTCTTCAACCTCTAACGATCGTTAAGCCAATACCAAACTATATCAGTGTTTATTAGTTATATATATTATATATATATATATAATTTATTATTATTATTATATTTATTATTATTATATAATATATATTATATTGATATATATATTATTACGTATATTAGTGCTTCGACTCTAACAGCATTGACGTTACTAACCGCTAACAACGTAACTAAACTATAATATTTGCTGTTTTCTCTCTCCACGCTCACTTGACCTTTGATACATTGTCGTCGTTCCTGTTTTTTTTTTTTCTTGTACGAAAACAAGATTGTCTTGTGCAATACGAATAACTAATGCGTCGTATGTACATAAAGAATACTTGACTTGATTATCAAATGCAGTTATTCAGTTATTCAACTTTGCGATAAAGTGACATATCTCTTTAAAAATAACTTATCTTTGAAAAGTAACAATTAAAGACATAACGAAGACATGAATCATCGATAAAGCTTCTCCGTTGGAATGTCGCGATGCAAAAGCAAGGGAGAAAATGTATAATAGCTAGGCGAAAAAAGAAGAGATATGTAGGTAAATCGGTTGGAGTAAGGAAAGTAGCAGCAGTTAAAGTCTGAGACCGAGGGACTCTAGATAGGCGGATGGCGTGCTTGCTGGCCCGCGCCGGAAGTCGCGTGTCGACGTCGACCATGCCACCACCGTACCACCTTCTGCTCCCCACCATCGTGGTAGATTTCTCGGCTCCACCGAACCACCACTACCGCCACTGCTACCACCACCGAGTTCACCACCGCATTTTCTTAACGTTCAACGAGACGAAGGCTAGTCGGTTAGGCAAGGTTGAATCGAGTTGTTGGTTGCTAGTGTTACCCCGTGGATTCGCACACTGCCGTGACAGTGATTGGTCGATCCTGCTCGAGCAGCGAGAGAGTCGAGGGAAGGCAACCCTTCGCAAGCTACGTAACGTCTTCAGAATCGTTAGGGTGTACGATTAGCACGCATCGAGTCGCTCGACCTTCGATTCCATCGTCAGTTTATTTTCTCATTTTCATTCCCGAGAAATATCGCGAGAAAAAATAGCGTAATCATTTCATATTAATCAGAAGACGTAAATTTTCAAGTGGCAAACGAAGTCGTTGTTCGACTGTAAAACATGTCGGGGCTGTACGATGAAAGAGCGTACGGAGTACCATGAGCAGTAACAGTAAGAAGACATCGGGCGGGAAGGACGAAAAGAAGAATCCCTCCAGCAAGGAGGAAAGCCCCGTAAACAAAGATGATGCCGGAGGATCGGCGTCGGTGGGAAGCACCGGCGGAGGAACGAGCGCAGATGGAACGCAACCTGGAAGTAAGCCTGGATCTGCTGGGGCGACCAGCAGGGAAGCAGCACAAAAGCTCCTCGGGCTTGCCGCGCGCGGAGAATGGGCACCGGTGGACCAGCTGCTCAAATCTCTGGAGAAGGCGATGCAAAATGTTGGAGAGGATGGTCCCGTCGCTCCTCTTGCCAGTATCATGGACCCGGTTAGTCGAAGAAAAAGATTCTCGCTAAGAAAGCAATCCATTGTCTATGTCTCGAACACTATACGATGAACGTTTTCGATTTCCAGGCGACGGGCATGACACCATTGATGTACGCAGTGAAGGACAATCGCACAGGATTGCTCGAGCGAATGATCGAGCTGGGAGCGGATGTGGGCGCCAGGAATAACGTAAGTATTCCAAGAAATTCGAAGTATTTAAGTTGTCGCAGTTTAATGAGTAAAACGTATAAATCGATAGATTCGATGAATTTCACAGTTTCTCATGATTTTTGGGAAAGAGGTGATAGGCATTTTCCTATTAAGAACGACGCTATATCGTTCGAGTGGCAATATTGGCTTTCGAATAAATTCTCGGGCGGCGTTGCGTTGTTGCGACACGTAATATTTGAGTGCAAACCATGGAACACGTATAGTTAACGATCTCCTTGTAATCCCTGTTAAGTCGAACAAAGGAGGGTAAGATCGCGTGAAGGAGGGCCAAGGCCAAGGGGTTTACCGAGGTTAGAAAGTAAGCAAGCAAGTAGGCCGACGAGTCACTAGGGCGAAAAAGTAGCTCGATTCTAGGAACTGATTAGGCGACTTCCAGATTTTATCGACGCGTTTCTTCGCGGTAATCATGCTTACGTGGTTGTACGTGTGCCTGACCAATTCTAGAAAACCCCCAGCGAATTAAAAAATTCCCAAGTCAGCCATTTTCCGTGGGTATTTCCGCGATTACGCAAACTCCGGAATCGCCAGGAGTTTCGCGAAAAAAAGCTTGGTCGCGCCCCTTCATTAATTCGGACAAATAGCTAATCGCAGGAATCGAGGGATTTCAGCCCCACCCAACGTAACGGTTCGACGTCATTTTCAAATTGTCCGACGATAAGCCATTCATTTTATTCTGGGCGCGGCAAAACGCGATTTACAACCCCGTTTCCATACTAGCCACTTGACCTAGCGAATCCCGCTCTTGCGATTTATTATCTAACAACCGGGGCTACTCGGCTCGATCAAGCGGAAGCAACTACGATAGGAAGATGAAATCGCCGCGTCGATTACTCGCTGAAAAGTCCATTGCGTTGACGAAATTCGTCTCCGTTTTTCGCAGGACAATTACAATGCTCTCCACATCGCGGCTATGTACTCCAGGGAGGATGTCGTTAAATTGCTTCTGTCAAAACGGGGTGTCGACCCTTATGCCACAGGCGGAGTATGAACCTTTCTTTTCCCGTATTTTTAACTCATTAACTATTTCAAGTACGTGATGATGTTCCTTTTACCATTTCGAGTACAGTCCAGGCAACAAACTGCTGTACATTTGGTCGCATCCAGACAAACAGGTACAGCGACTTCTATTTTACGAGCGTTGCTGGCTGCCGCCGGTCGGGACATTAGGTTGAAAGTCGATGGGGTAAGTAATACATGTCAAAGAAATCGCCAGAATTTGATATTCTTCTTCTCTTTGTTTTTTTTTCTTTTTACGATTTAAATTTCTTGTATTTGCTCGTCAGGCATTCACTGATCGAATTAACAGTTTTTTGTGTGATTTCTATCGCGTATCACTCTCGATCCTCGTCCACGTTCGTCGCGTGACGCGAATGATCGCTCAGGACTATCGCGGCCTGGTACCGAACAACTGTCATAATTCTCTTCTAGTTCGCTTCTTCTTCGTCTCTTTCTTCTTTCTTCTTCTTCTTCTTTCACCATTTCCTTCTGCACATTTACATCTATTCCCTCTTCTTTCTCGCACGCGTATTAACCCAGCCTCCTTTCCTTGTCTCGCAAACGAGCTAGATTATGCGATTTCAACATTTACGAATGTGGCTATTTATGGAAATCGTAAGGCGAATTCGTTTTCCTTTGCCCCTCGCAAAAATCGATCCGACCAGTCGTCTAATGTTTCCCGACACCGAAGCGAGACTGCACCGTAGTCTATAGAGAACTGTTTCGAGAAGAGCATGGTTGCATCGTGACAATTTTTCAGAAAGGGAAGGTACCTTTGCTGCTGGCTGTGGAAGCTGGGAATCAATCGATGTGCAGGGAGTTGTTGTCTCAACAGGCACCGGATCAACTCCGTGCCACTACCACCATAGGTGACTCGGCTCTTCATCTGGCGGCCCGAAGAAGGGACATCGACATGGTGCGAATATTGGTGGACTACGGGGCGGCTGTGGATATGCAGAACGTACGCGAGAATTTTCGGATCTCGGAACTGAGAGAGAGAGAGACGTTACGTACCTTCGAGAAAAGGGTCCTTAAATATCTTTGAATGCGAATATCCTTTCAGGGCGATGGACAAACTGCGCTGCACATAGCGAGCGCGGAGGGCGACGAAACCCTCGTCAAGTATTTTTACGGTGTCAGAGCATCGGCCTCCATCACCGATCATCAGGATCGTACCCCGATGCATCTGGCAGCAGAGAACGGACACGCTTCCATTATTGAGTTGCTGGCCGACAAATTTAAAGCTAGTATATTCGAGAGGACGAAGGACGGGTCGACGCTGATGCATATAGCGTCGTTGAATGGCCACTCGGAATGCGCGACGATGCTGTTCAAGAAGGGCGTCTACTTGCACATGCCGAATAAACGTGGTGCCCGGTCGATTCACACGGCGGCCAAGTACGGCCATGTCGGCATCATAAGCACTCTTTTGCAACGAGGTGAAAAGGTATTAGAACAGAGAATCTGAAGTCGAATTTTGTTCCGTGATTAATCCGGAGAGAAAATTCGTCCAAGTGAATTGACTGAATATTTCTCGCTGCCCAGGTGGACGCGACCACGAACGACAATTATACGGCACTGCATATAGCCGTGGAGAATGCAAAACCTGCGGTAGTAGAGACTCTGTTGGGATACGGGGCTGAAGTTCACGTACGAGGTGGAAAGCTTCGGGAAACACCTCTCCATATAGCAGCCAGAGTTCCCGACGGTGACAGATGTGCGCTGATGTTACTGAAATCTGGCGCAGGACCGAATTTAACCACCGACGATGGTCAAACACCTGTGCACGTAGCGGCGAGCCATGGCAACTTGGCGACGTTAAAGCTTCTTCTGGAGGATGGCGGGGATCCCATGTACAAATCCAAGGTATAATTTCTCTCTATCCGTTCCTTTCGTTTTCCCCTGTTCCACGATGACACGCTGATCGACAGAACGGAGAAACGCCGCTGCACTTGGCCTGTAGGGGATGCAAGGCCGACGTGGTGCGACACTTGATCGAGTTCGTGAAGGGAAGGAAAGGTGCAGAAACAGCGACCGCCTACGTCAACAGTTTGACAAACGAAGGGGCGAGTGCGCTGCATTACGCCGCGCAGATCGAACCGGCGGAAGTTGGAACACCCGGCGACGACCGTGCTGTCATTCGAGCACTTCTGGAGGGTGGAGCAGATGTTTCGCTCCAGACGAAACAGGCTCAAGAATCCGCGTTCCATCATTGCGCGCTAGCTGGGAACAACGAAGTTCTGTCGGAAATGATATACGGTATGTCAGCTACGGAAGTACAGAAAGCCCTAAATCGTCAGAGCGCCGTCGGATGGACACCGTTGCTGATCGCTGCCCATCGTGGCCACATGGAGCTGGTGACCACGCTGCTGGCGAATCACGCGAGAGTAGACGTGTTCGATCTGGAAGGTAGATCCGCTCTCCATCTGGCTGCCGAGCACGGCTATTTACAAGTCTGCGACGCGTTATTGGCAAACAAAGCGTTTATTAACTCGAAATCCAGAGTCGGTAGAACGGCATTGCATTTGGCAGCGATGAACGGCTACTCGCATCTCGTCAAGTTTCTCGTGCAGGACCACGGGGCTGCGATAGACGTTCTTACGCTGAGAAAGCAGACACCTCTTCATTTGGCAGCTGGCGCTGGCCAATTGGAAGTGTGCAAGCTTCTACTCGAACTCGGGGCAAGTATAGACGCGACGGATGATCAAGGCCAGAAGCCGATTCATGCTGCGGCCATGAACAATTACGCAGCGGTTGCCCAGCTGTTCCTTCAAAGGCATCCGAGCCTAGTGATGGCATGCACCAAAGATGGAAACACTTGCGCTCACATAGCGGCGATGCAAGGCAGCGTACGCGTGATCGAGGAGCTGATGAAATTCGATCGGCAAGGTGTCATCTCTGCGAGAAACAAGTTAACCGAAGCGACGCCGCTCCAGCTGGCGGCTGAAGGAGGGCACGCCGAAGTTGTTAAAGCGTTAGTCAGAGCGGGCGCCTCGTGCGCCGATGAGAATCGGGCGGGATTTACCGCGGTCCATTTGGCCGCACAACACGGGCATGGCCAGGTATTGGAAGTGATGCGATCTTCTCAGTCTCTTCGTATATCCAGCAAGAAACTTGGGGTTACCGCGCTTCACGTTGCCGCCTACTTTGGTCAAGCCGGTAAGAAAGCTCTAGCAAGAAAGCAATCTTCGTTTTTTTTTTTTTTTTGACGATGACGACATGATATCGGTACGAGCGATAGTTTAGACTTTTGTTTCGAGTTGTGTAGGAAACTCTAACAAACACTAACCAGTTGTTGCAAAACGAATACTATCGCTCGTCAAAGAGAGCTTCTCCTCGTTGAACTTTATCCTGCGAAGCGGCAGAACAATAGATCTTTTTCTTCAGATACTGTGCGGGAATTGTTAACTCACGTGCCTGGGACAGTGAAGTCCGATCCCCCAACTGGTGGCTCTCTAGTGGGAGAACTGGGAAGTGAATCTGGAATGACACCGTTACATCTGGCTGCTTACTCCGGAAATGAAAACGTCGTACGACTACTGTTGAACTCGGCCGGTGTACAGGTATTCAAACTAAGTTTCATCGCTAGTTTTTAACGACGATGAGCTGACATCAAATCCTTGACCAAGGTGGAAGCAGCGACCACAGAAAACGGTTTCAATCCCCTTCATTTGGCCTGTTTCGGAGGTCACATCACGGTAGTGGGTCTTTTGTTGAGCAGATCGGCGGAATTGTTACACAGCTCGGATCGATACGGTAAAACCGGCCTCCACATCGCCGCGACTCACGGCCACTACCAGATGGTCGAGGTTCTGCTCGGCCAGGGAGCAGAAATAAACGCGACCGATAAAAACGGCTGGACGCCGTTGCACTGCGCCGCTCGCGCTGGCTATCTCGACGTTGTTAAATTGCTGGTCGAAAGCGGTGCCTCGCCGAAGAGCGAAACCAATCTCGGAAGCGCGCCGATTTGGTTCGCCGCCTCGGAGGGCCATAACGACGTGCTCAAGTATCTCATGGAGAAAGAGCACGATACATACGCCTTGATGGAGGACAAGAGGGTAAGCCGCAATCGTCGCTGCTTTTCTTCGTATCTTTCTTCTCCTTTTCCTTTCAATTGCTTCTTTCTTTCGAAATTCAAGCATCGACAAAGTAATTGGCACAGCATTGGAATTTCAAAACTTTTAACGTGAACAACGATCATCGCTTACCTCGAACCAATAAATTTTGGCGAGTAACAGCCGTTAGATAGCTGGCACGCGATTCTTAACTTTTCTCTTTCCTCCCCCGACCGTGGGTTTCATTCGTGATCGCATTCGATCGATTCGAACTCGTTGGTCTTTCAGTTCGTTTATAACATGATGGTCTGCAGTAAGAGCAACAACAATAAACCGATCGAGGAATTCGTGCTGGTATCGCCGGCACCGGTAGACACGGCAGCGAAGCTTTCCAATATCTACATGAAACTGTCGGAGAAGGAGAAGGAGAGAGCTAAAGACTTGATAGCCGCCGGCAAACAATGCGAAGCGATGGCCACGGAACTGTTAGCTCTGGCCGCAGGCGCCGACTCGGCTGGAAGGATTCTTACCTCGATGGACCGCCGGAACATGGAATTCTTGGACGTTCTGATCGAGAACGAGCAGAAGGAAGTGATCGCGCATACGGTGGTGCAGCGGTATCTTCAAGAACTGTGGCAGGGCAGCTTGAACTGGAACGCCTTTAGAACGATCCTTCTGTTTATCGCATTTCTCATCTGTCCGCCAGTCTGGGTGGTGTTCGCTCTTCCACTCGGTCACAAGTACAACAACGTTCCCATTATAAAATTCATGTCGTACCTTACGTCTCACATATATCTGATGGTCTTCCTTTTACTGGTCGGTATAATTCCTATATATCCGGTAGTAAGAGCCAGCCTGTTACCGTACTGGTACGAATGGTGCCTTCTTGTAATGCTGTCCGGACTGTTGCTCTTCGAGCTGACTAATCCCAGTGACAAGAGCGGATTAGGCTGGATCAAGTTGGCAGTGCTACTATTCGGCATCTGTGGAGTCGCATTCCATCTGATGGGCTTCGTGCTGGTTCAACGAAACTACTGGCCAACTCTGCTCTACCTTAGGAACCAGCTATTCGCCCTGAGCTTCTTGCTTGCCTGTGTGCAGATCCTCGACTTCCTCTCGTTTCATCATCTGTTTGGACCGTGGGCGATCATCATCGGTAACCTGATGAAGGATCTCGCGAGATTTCTCGCGGTATTGGCCATCTTTGTGTTTGGTTTCTCGATGCACTTTGTCGCGCTGAACCAAGCCTTCAAGAACCAATCGATTGCGGAAGCACGCAGCGAGGACAGAAAGAAGAAGGGCGCCTTCCACGACGGTAAGTTCGACGCATATGACTAGCCGTTGATTTTTCTTAGAATCTTAGCAAAACGAGAGAGAGAGAGAGAAAGGGAGAGAGAAATAGCCTCCTGACTTTTACCCCCTGTCTTTTATCCCTCGAATATACGATCGTAGCCACTCTGCAGAAAAAAAAGAAACGATAATAAGCTAGCGGCGCGGTCGATGGGACCGCGAACATGCGATACGCAAGTACACGAATAAAAACCCGCGTACTCGATGCTTTTCCTCCTAACTAGAATATTTGAAATCGTTTGAATTATTCGAGGCAATGAAAATGTTCCGTCGCGATGCCTCGACACTTAGACGAGTTTTGAACCTAAGCGAGCTGTCACTGTAAAATTAGTATCGTATCAACACTATCGAGCCTTCCCTCGACGCAGGTCGCCGATGATTTAATAATTTCGAACGAAGACGAAGACTATGACCTATCTCGTTGTCCCGATTATAAGTACCATAGAACAGCCTAATTATCTCGATGCAAACGCATAATCGGATCAATTGCAATGAATAGATTTGTTGGCCAATGTTACGGAATGGATGATGGAGACGCCATCGACGGCGCCTCCTCGTCGCTACGGCCGCTACAAGAAAAAGAATGAGTGTTGTGACGATAGCTCCCGAGATAGTAAGTTTTGAAAAGCCGATTGGGAACGTTAACGAGAACCACAACCAGAACAGAACGCGAGATGAATGGCAATGACACGTGCACAACGGAATGCAGGACACGATTCTTCTTGGTGTCGTATCGTCTGCATTGTGCGTTTGCCCGATGTGTGTTGTTGCCTGCTGGGACTGCTGCCTGATTCCAATTAACATAAATACATATTTGCAACGTCGCGAGAAATGTTTCTCTCACTCCGCTGTAACCTGTGCTGTGATTCGGGCTTGTGACGAGTGATGACGAGTTCTATCCGTCGAGGACGCAAGGACCGCCTTCGCATCATGTTTAATTTTCGTTATATGTTTATTTCCTGTATGACGATCGATATCACGAATCCCTGAAACATTTTTCACACAGTACGAAAGGAAAACACGAAATTCGATGCTTTTCCAGAATCCTAGTTTCTTTTTTTTTTCTTCTTTTCTTTTTTTTTTTTTTTTTTTTCTTTTCTTTTTTTTTTTTTTTTTTGCCGCGAGTCCGAATCGCAGCTACTCGGTGTTTACGGCTCGATCTTGACCTCGATCTCGACTTCGATCTCGAGATCATAGCATCCCGCCGAGTAGGTTGGCGACCACCGCAGGCTTCTTTCTTATTTCACGGAGGCGCCAATCGAGCGCGCGTTTCTCCACAGCCTCTGTTGTGCATCGTATGCATCTCTATAAACATACAAGAGTAACGTTGTCTTTCTCGTTGCTGTCCGAGTTTTGCGCAATGCGTGTTTTTGTGTGTCACTACCAATCGGCCAAGTCGAAGTACGACCTCGAAAAGCGTCGGGTTGGTTCATATCCTGGCATTCGATCCCGATGTACCACCCGGCGCACGCACATCTCCATTTTTTTTTTTTTTTTCGTGACTGTCTTTAACCACCGGAAATCGATTCAGCCTGTTTCCCGTTTTCAACTCTTTTATTCTGCCTCGAACGTCCTCCCTGTTTTCCTTCGAATCCACCTTTTCGTTTTAAAGCCGCGGTCGCTTTGCGTGTATTTCCTCACGATCTTGGGAAGCAGCAAAACGTCCGATCTTGTCCTTGCATGCGCACGGTAAATAGTTCTCTTTCTACGTACATACGTGTTCGCTCGTGCGCGAGATCCACCTGAATGTTCGATGAAGAAAGAAAGGAGGATTAGAGAGCGCGAAAGTGAGAGAGAAAGAGATAAAGAGAGGGAGAGGGAGAGAGTGAGGGTGAGGGAGGGAGAGAGAGAGAGAGAGAGAGAAAAAGAACGGGGGGAAAGTGAAAAAAAAAAAAAACGCTCGCCGTCTGCATGCTGCATCTCATCGTCCAAAGCAAACGAGTCGATTGTGAATCCCGTGAATTCGGAGTAGAAAGAAGAACACGCGACAAGTCGACGCAATCAGATGATCGATAAAACACACTCGGCTTTGTAGATCCTCGATGCATCTCGAATCAGTTTACTGTCGCGGATTCTTGCGTATTGGCACAAAAGAAAACAAATGAAACCAACGGAATAGAAACACAATAATAACAAGTATATCACCTTGAAAGTAAGAACAAAACACCGAATAATTACACAACGTGGATCGAAGCTCGCGGAACGTCCGGCATGCATTCAACGTTTTTCGCAAGCATGGCCCGTCTGTATTAGCATGAGCATGTTCGTACGTTCATCGTTCGTTCGATCGTTCGTTCGTTCCAATGTACGTATGATATACCACACCCGCATCCATACATAGCGAGTCCACCAGTAGCCAGCCTAACGACACGAAGCAGCAGTCACGAGAGAAAACGCAAAAAAAAAAAAAAAAAAAAAAAAGGAAAAAAGGAAAAAAGGATGGCCGGGAAAGAGGTGGATTCGGAGAACAGCTAAAGCGGAATGACCGTCCGGCCAACCTATCGCATGGACGCGCGTTTCACCGGATCCCTAGTAATCCAGTTCTCGCGAGCGGGGTACGGGCAACGATGGAGGATTTAGCCGAGGGAAAATACGACGAAACTCCTCTGATCTTCTCTTAACGTCCGCTCTCGCCGCGCCTCGTAATTCGGACGTGGAATCCACCGTCATGAGGATTCTTACGGCCGATCGGGAATAACGTTGGATTAGACGCGGAAAGAGATCCCGCGTTCTATGCTCAATCGACTGTTCGTCAAAGAAAACGGATAACGCGCGCACGGCTGATGCAAATAACGCGCGAGAGAGACAGAGCCGTCTGCTCCTCTGTCCCTCCCGCGGCGAAGGTAGTAAGCGCGAAAGTAAGAAGCTGCGTTGATTTGCGAGACACGAAGGACGTTGACGAACAAAGGCACGAGGAGAAGGAGTACGGCGGAGTGTCGGAGCGATACGACGGCAGAGACAGAGAAAACGAGAGCCCAGAGCGATTGCCATATCGTACCTGAGGGTACCGTTGAGCGTTTCAGAGGCAAGGAAAGAAACGAGGGTGACGGCGGAGCAAAAGGGGGCGGCTAAGTGGGAATGAAGAGAGAGGAAGAACGGACGGTGTACTATCGTCGAAGAAAGGCCGGGAAGAACGAGTATGTATCTGCATATAACCTGGTTTCTCACTCTCGCGAACGCGAGCTTTTACGCGAGCGTACCGACCGGTGTGCGGGAGAGACGAAGCTGAAACGAGTTCCCTTGGGAAGTGGCCAGCCGTACCACCGTTCCTGTTTCTCGGGCCGTACCCCTACCCTCCTCCGTCAGATATCCAGAAGAAGACCGACCACTCTCGGGAGACCGGACTAGTGCTTCTCAAACACAGGCCAGCCGGCCCTTCCATCCTTCATTACCCGGCTTCTCGTTCCAACTTACCGTTCCGCCGAGAGTTTTCCTCGAGTACACCCACGTGCCACGCAAACGTAAACGCACCAATGAATCCGTGGCTCCTTTAAAGCCGACCTGTCGCTGCGTACGTGCCTCCCAGCGGCAATTACGCTTGCCCCTGGATCGAACCTCGGTAAATTCGTGCGGACTGTGCTGCGCCGCGCTGCGCTACGTCGCATCGCGCCAACAGAAATCCACCGCGTCGAATCAGGACATGTTTGTCCTCGCTGCTGTTTCCTGATCGTCGATTGTTAGTCACGATCACGTGACCAGTCGCGATCGCAGTGTCAAAAATTCTCGACGAATCGCGATCTTCGCGACTGACTGGAACAAGTCGCAAGGAATGTACAGTAAACTTCTACACAGAGCGACGAATAAATTGCGAATTCCTCTCGTATAACGCGATAAATAGTCCCACGTGTATATATTTTACATTTTGACATAGTTTTCGATTTTTTTCTTTAAAAAAGCAAATCTTTGACAACACTGACCTATTGTTTACACAGGGTGGGTAAAAAAATCGTAGTATAACCGGCCAGGGGTTAATTTTACGTAAAAAAAAATAAGGAAAAAATGTGGTATACAATTTTTTCGTCCGAGGCCTCGTTTTCGAGAAAATCGAATTTGAAGTTTATTACTTTACAAGTTGGAAATGTCCTCGTTGTTGCATACGTAATTATGCTCGACGAATTAAAGATAACTGAACAGATGGTAACGTATTATTATTTTTTAGTTTTTCAAACATTTGAAGATTTTTTTGCTTTAGTTGTACAATGTTGTTAATACTTTCTTTGTACACTTCTTCTTTGGCATGTTTTATTTGAGAAATTTATTTATTTAAATTTATTTCCTACAGTATCCTATTATTATCATTAAGACGAGCAGCGGCAACCGATAATAGAATACATGATAAAGAAATTGTATTGTGTAATTGAGTAAACTTCAAATTCGATTTTCTCGAAAACGGAGCCTTGAATGAAGAAATTGCATACAACGTTTTTCCTTTATTTTTTTACGTAGAATTACCCCTTATCCGGTTGTACTACGATTTTTCACCCACTCTGTATATGCACAATGAAATTGACAGTTTAAAAAGATAAAGGGTTATTGAAACAATAACACGCACATTTAAAGACATAAAAGAAAATTACTTTTATTCAACTTAAAAAAATAAAATACAAGTGTGTATTTCACTCTTTTTAGAATTCATTCATTCTTTCAAACTGACTCACATCAACAAACATATGAAGCCATTTCAGATGGTAGCCACTTTGACGACTGTAAAATGTTGAATTTGCTTACAGTTATAATTTAGAGACATGTTTGAACTTGCGCAAATTCGCCCGACAATTCATGTACCATATAACGTGGAACGTATCCCCGGGAGTTGTACGGGAGTTTACTGCAATTGGTGACGAGCGCTCAGATTCGTCGAAATATCAGAAAAATGGCAGCCTTTGATATACAAACGAAAGCCAGAAGCGGATCGCGACACGAATTGGCGTCGACGTCTAAACGAATCGAACCAGTTGTGTCTACGAGCACGTTCGACGGCCAGCGTCGCGTCGCTAGGCTAACGAGCCACGCTTTAATAGGCGAAAGTTCCGTTTCGAAAGTCGTAAAATCGCGACTGCCGGTGACTTTATCGATGTAAAGGCGGAAACAGAGGCAGAAGTGAAAAAGCGAACGAAGACAGCGGGCTGGGAACGGCCACGAGAACGAGACGGAGAGAAGGGAAGGTTAGCGAGAGAGAGAGAGAGAGAGAGAGAGAGAGAGAGAGAGAGAGAGGGGGTGGTCCACCGCCGGATACGAGAGCCAGGCCGGCAATATCGAGATGAGTTATTGTTCACGGAGCACAATACGCTCAAATATGGAACGTAGCCGAGAAATTGATAGAAAAAATCCGTATGGCTCTACCAAAAGCTTTATTAATTCCTGCCAACATCTCTGCAAATAGAAACAACCAACCATGGTCAGCGTTAAAAAAAAAAAAAAATACACGTGCAAAGAGAGGTGGCATAAAGAAGATGCTCCATAGTTGCGGATGTTAGCTGTTTTATGCTTTAGGATTGCGTCGGGGAACGAGATACGAGGAGGAGGCGATTTTACATAGGAAGGGCAAACAGTAAGCAAGGGGAGACGATTTCGGTGGAATTGTATTAGGCGAGAGCGCTCACGCGATACTAAACAATGTATCGCCATTAAATAGACTTAAATCGTGGGACGTGGGTCTCCCCATCTTTGGCCGATCGATACAAGAGAATTTTCTGGCGACCGTTCGTAGGGTGGATGGATGACAGAAATGAGTAAGAGAGAGATGAAAAATAGAGAGTGAGGAGCAACCACGAGAAAACGCAACTACAAAGGGAAATGGAGATGGAAAGAGTGGCAGTAGGGTGAGCGAGATCGAGGTAGGGGGACGCGGTCTCTCCGGTCCAAACCGAGCGGCACGCTTCCACCTCGCTTTCGTGCCTCGGCGACGTTTGCCTCGCCAGAGAAAAACGCCGGGGACGAATGACTCCTCGTAAATCGATTACGTGGACGGAAAATGCCATGGTTTTCGGTCTCGAATATCCTTTTCCTCCCTCTCCGCCCCCCTTTCCTCCCTTGTTTCACCGTGAAAACCGAATTTTATCGTTATCGTTATTCTATCGTTGGATTATTTCGATTTCATCCGAATGAACGCAGTGAAAACTCCACGGCGGTATCGAATTCATGGTTCCCGGGTGCAACTTTCCATCTCTGTTTCTCTCTCTCTCTCTCTCTCTCTCTCTCTCTCTCTCTCTCTCTCTCTCTCTCTTACTCTCTCNCTCGCCTAATCCCATTACGTCGCGGAAGAAAATCGAACCAGGCCGAACGAAAAAAAAAAAAAAAAAAAAAAAGACAAATCAAGAAACGTGTGTGCCTCGAATTCCAGTAAAGATGAATCCTGTACTTGCCTTCGAGTATCTGTTCTTCGCTGTCTTTGGCCAAACGACCCACAGCGAACTGAAGGTCGAGAATAATCAGCCGCAGTGGACCTCGGTCCTGTTCAAGTTGGCCTTTGGCGTATACATGTTGGTCTCAGTAGTCGTATTAATTAATCTACTGATCGCCATGATGAGCGACACCTACCAGCGGATACAGGCGCAATCGGACATTGAGTGGAAATACGGACTCAGTAAACTAATCCGAAATATGCACAGGTAAGCCGGTAAACGTGTATCGTATGCAAGAACAGTTCGGATCTCACACGACCCGCGATCGAAATTTATACATATCCGCCTATATTTCCGTTTCTCATGCTAAGGAAGCGATCCGCATTCTCCAAACAAAAGTCTGCTACTCTACGCTACTTTTCGTTATCAGTTCTCCTCGCATTGAATCGCCTTTGCGCCGCATGTTCCGTCACCGTGTAGTTGTTGACTCGTGAAATGAATCTGCGGGATAGGCTGGACACACGATTCCGTGTTGCAGAACGACCACCGCCCCATCGCCTCTTAACTTGCTCACTACTTGGATCGTGTACTTCATCAAGGTGTGCAAGCAACACGCTGCGAAACGAAAACGTCCCTCGTTAGTCCATATGATGGGACTTCAGCGAGGTGACCGTCTTTCACCTAGATCGAAAATGGGCGCGAAATGGCTGGCCAAAGTGAAGAAAGGTCAAGTCAGACCAAAAGATAGCGTAACCTTATCTGTGGTACATTTGAGTCCCCTTGGAAGTCAATTGTCCTTCAATAGTGCTACAAGAATAGAGAGCGTAGTCGATTGGGACTCGATTCGTAAGAAATATTTGGCTCTGTCCGGGAACGAGCCCGAGAAAGAAGCGGACAAGGATGCCAAAAACGAGGATGACGAAAACGAGGATGATAATGCACCGACTGCTTCCAACTCCTCAACGGTACCAACAACTACAACACCGCCCATCTAGAAGAAGCTGATTCTTCGCCTCGGGAAAAACACAAGTTCGATTCGACGATTGCAAATTTGATAAGTTTACCGAACGCAATCCTGTGGCTATACGAATTCTCGTCGCGCTACTACCGCATAGAAAATAGCTACGGCATCAAAATATATTCTAGGTAACGATTCGTAGCGTCTTTTGAAGATCGACCGGCTATTCGCGAAATATAATCAACGTGCTATCATTTCGAAGTTTACGTAAGTAATCTTGCGAACACGAGATAGAGAAGTACAACTATCGTATCGTGCGTTTGTAAACGTTTGATCCAGCATGGCTACCCCTTTTTCAACTGCACTACAACTCCTTTTGGATTCCCTTCTACTACAGGACTTTTAGACGATTGCTCAGCCAGAGCTGTCTAAATTCCTCCTTACAAACGCATCCCTTAGTTTAAAGTCCTACAATAAAGTGTCCTTCTACGACTTAGCATTTAGCCATAGTGACACTAACTTAAAAAACAAAAGTCAAGGCCAACAGAAAACACGCATGTACTTACACGCATACAAATATACGCAACATGTACGTACATACAAACAAAGATTGAAGAACATGAAATCTATCGCGATACACAAAGTTTTCACGAGACGTATCGTTCCCACGTATTTCCAGTCAGGATGAGTCCCGTACTGGCCGTTGAGTTATTGTTCTTCGCCATCTTCGGTCAGACAACCCACGAACAATTCAAGGTTCAAGATTCAATCCAGCCCGACTGGACCAAAGTTCTCTTCAAGCTCACCTTCGGTATTTATATGCTGGTTTCGGTGGTTGTGCTGATTAATCTACTAATTGCCATGATGAGTGACACTTACCAACGGATACAAGCTCAGTCCGACATCGAGTGGAAATACGGATTGAGTAAGCTCGTTAGAAATATGCACAGGTAAGGATTTATAATCGTTGCACGATAAAAGAACAAAAAAAAAAAAAAAAAAAAAAAAAAAAAAACAGAAAATGCCGGGCTCTCCTGTAGCATATACCCTTCGAGAATCGAAATCGAGATAGAACCAGTATCAATTTCCGATGCGATAACGAACATTGTCATATGCCCGCACAATTTGAACGAAACACGTTCGTTCAATTGGTTGTGGAAATTCTAATTGATCAGATACGTTTATCGATGCGCAGGACAAGTACAGCGCCATCACCATTGAATCTTCTTACCACCTGGATGACATATTTGTACAAACTCTGCAAAAAACGTGCTGCGAAAAAGCAACGACCATCGCTCGTCCGCTTGATGGGACTGCAAAGAACCAATGTTCTTTCGGCGCGGTCCAGAATGGGCGCCAAGTGGTTGTCCAAAGTGAAAAAGTCTCAGGTGGCTCACAAGGATAGCGTTGCCTTATCGGTTGTTCATCTCAGTCCTCTTGGTAGCCAATTATCGTTCAGTAACGCTGTCAGAATCGACAACGTTGTCGATTGGGAAGCGGTCCGGCGCAAATATCGTGATCTTCATGGTGAAAAGATCGAAAAACATGCCGAAGAATCGAAAGAATCTACAGAACATGAACCTTTATCGGCTGCTCTAGAAAGTTCATTGGCTGGTGTTCCTGTGGCAGGAAACCAAACTGTATCTACTTCTATATCTTGAATATCGATCATTTTTTACAATCAGCATATTTATTAAAAGGGAATCTAACGTAACTTGTTCTCCTTGTTGATCTTGGATCATTATAATAAAACGGCGTTATCGTTTTTAGACATGTACAGTCTCGTCTCGTACGATCTTTCTTATTAAAATAAACATCCAAATTAATCGGATCATTCTGTGATTCTCTTATTATTCGTGGACCTTTTATCCCCTCTCACATCGATACAACGATTATCTTCTCAGTCATGTTTTAAAGAAGACTACCAAGGGAATGATGCTGTATAGCAACAATGCATAGGAACTTAACGTACCTTTAATGGTTAGTCTATGTATATGTATGATCACTCGTATTGTTGTGCTCTTTGTTTGTCACACTATTAAACAAAGCTGTAACTTAATTCCACTGAGTAAACGAAATATTACTGAATGCATGCGTGCATGCTCATTGGCCGAACATCACGATGCTTACAACAAATCAACAGAATGCGTAATTGCAAAATTTGAATTGTATCGCGAAATCGGTGCATCGACCGTCTGCCGTTCAATTAGCTCTGAATCGAATCATGACACCGTTTTCATTGATCAGGATCAATCACTCGATTCTTCATATATCAAGTATCGTTCAAAACACACCAGTTTTACGTATAACTTATAACTATTTAAATCATACTCCTTCTTCAATATAGAAATTGCTCCTATCCTCCCTGTGTTTTCATCTGATTTCCATCGCATGTTTCGCATTTCATGCTGTATATATCTCTTTCTTTCAATCAATATCATTAAATTTCGCAACTGGGACGCAACGATTACAGTGCAAATTCACGCAAAGTAAATCATATAATTCAAGACACGACGTGATTTTTGCGTTCCTCTAAAAATATCTTTGACAATCTTAGACGCTTGATTACATTCTTTCAGTGAAAGTGAATCCCATCGATATTACGGAGAATCTTTTCTTCGCTATTTTCGGCCAAAAGGATACAGATGATTTCACGGTATCGCTAAAACGAAAGATGCAACCAAATTGGACGATATACTTTTTTAAGGTCAGACCAATATTCACAACTCCTTATCGTGCATGATTTATACTTGAAGGATTGACAATCAATGCTTTCATATTTTGCTAGATATCCTTCTCTCTGTACATGTTGGTTAGTGTTATTGTACTAATCAATCTATTAATCGCAATGATGTCCGATACGTATCAAAGTATTCAGTCACAAAGCGACATCGAGTGGAAATATGGATTAAGTAAACTTATACGTAAAATGCAAAAGTAAGTAATTCACAAAATATGTAGATATCAAAATCAAACTTCTTTACTGTAAAGAAAAGGAAAAATTTTTATAACTAACACGACGAATTGCTTTGCAATAAATATAAGTTCGAAACATCTTTTTTAAGAACACGTACTGCACCTTCGCCGTTGAATCTCATTACTTCCTGGATTTCATATATTGGCAAAATATGTAAAAATCGAAGCCGCGAACGTAAAACTGGTATAATGCATTTATTTGCGGGACACACATTTAGTCAGGTAAGTAAAAAGTCGATAATAAATAAATAAAATATAGCAATAAATTTCTCCTTTTACTTAGGACAATGGATTGTTATCTCAGCAACATGATGTCATTAACTTTCCATTACTTCAATCAAGTCCATTGGAAAGTCAATTGTCTTTGAAATATTCAATAAGAATCGAAAATGTAGTGGATTGGGATTTCGTAAGACGAAAATATAGAGTACGATTTGGTAACGAAATCGAAAAATCTCTCCTAGAAGACTCGTCTACAAAGCGTTGAATGTCTGTAATGTAGTTTCCTATTACTTACATAATTATACTGTAGATTTGCCATTTTCTCACAGATGAAATATTTGTACTTACTATTTGATATCTTTTTTATCTTATTAAATATAAAAATAATATTCCTATACTATCGGTACAGAAATATGAAAATTGTCGGAAGGTTTTAAATAAGTGTTAAGAAGAAAATTTTTATAAATAATTTTTTCTTTATAGTATAAAAATATAATACTACTTTTTTGGTATCAATATCATATTCTAACTAAAGTAACACTTAGATTTTAATAATTAGATTTGTTGAGATATGTTATTTCTCTACCATATCTCTGATGCGTGGTAACAACCAAATTAAAAGCTGCGGCTTGTTCGCGTATACATTTGTCTTCCTCAGGTGTTAAAGATTCAGGAAGTGGTTGTCTCAAGAGATGATTATCTTCAAAAAAACTTTTGCACATCTCATACGCAGCTTTTTCAAAAGAAGACTGTTCTTTTTTCTTTTCTTTAACTTTTAAGCAATTTTTCCAAAGCTGTTTTTCTATTTCTAAATACTTTCTGTGTTTTTCATTTGCCTAGAAATAATAAATACAATAAAATGTTTTTAGAAACAGTAAACAGACTGTCAAAATATGTAAGCATAACTTCACCAACTAAAACAAGAAAGAGTTCATATAAACACGTGTCCAATATGACCTTGTTTCTGAACTACATCTTTTTTTGTATTACATCAATTATTTACCTTTTTTTTTTTCAGAAATTACTCAAAGTGACCATATCCAAACTCAAATACAAGCTTCTAGGTCTCTTGTCATTGAAATTCTCATTTATTTAAAGTTGCCTGGTATTGTTCAAATTTGTTAGCAACTGTCAATAATTCATTTATAATTAGTATTTATAATAATATTTATAATGAAGAACTATTTGTCAAAAGAATTACTGAAAAATAGAAATTCGACTCTATCTCAGAAACAAAGTTCTTTTTTCTATTTTAATCTTTTTTCCTATTTTAGTATACTCAATTCTTCAGTGAAGTTATGTCACATATTTTAATACATACTGCATAATCTTTGATTTTATTAACTCACAAGTCTAATTTCTTTAATAATGTCCATATTTCCAGATTCCATTTTTAGAGCAAGTTGCAATACTTCCATTGCTTTAGAGTACTCTCCCATTTTCAATAATGCCCGCCCATGACTAAAACAAATGCAAAATTTACATTTAAATAAGTATTTTTTGAAACTTGTTTTAATACAACATACTTGAAATGGGTTTTAGCTGTAGGTATAGGAACTCTATTGCATGCAGTGCAAGCACGACGTGGCATATTTTCAATATTGTAACAAACTGCAAGATTATTATAACCTCTTGAAAGTAATTTATTTAATTCATTTTCCTCTTCCTGATTTTTCAGTTCAGCTTCTTCTAACCATTGAAGTGCTTTTCCATATCTACACAAATAATAATAATAATTAGAATACTGATATAATAATATAAAAATACTTAGTTTTTTATTTATATAATAATAAAAAGATACTTACTCTCTTATTGCTTGTTTAATTTTCTGCTTACTAAAGCAATCTTTGGCAGTATTAAATTTACCTTGTACACTCTTAATAACATTTGCAAATTGTTTTCTTTCTTCTAAAGATAAACTTTGAAATTCTTTAACAGATCCATTATCTACATAATCAACTAAATGCACAACGAATAATATTTCTTCATTTGGAGGAATTCGAGGAGCACAACCATATTTTCCATATGCTAAATCCGGATGTATAATAAATATAGCTATTTCATGCTTCTGCATTGTTGTAATACCAATTTCTAAACCAGGTATTAATGCACCTTCATTGAGACAAAAAGTTTCTGCTCCTTCACGAGCAAAACTAGAGTCAAATGGTTCATCTACATGTTCAACATGTCCTATATATTTAATAGTAACTTGTGCATCAAATGGTACACAATTCCCAACACCTTTTTGTTTTATTAATTTCATTACCTACGATTAATATTAAAAAAAAAAAAAGATTAATTTATGGAAAACCTGTAATATATTAACAGCATCAGAAAATATAATTTACTTTTCCATCTCCATAAATGTCAGTCATTTTAGTTTTTAGTTTTTCAAAACTAATACCACAAATTGTTATTTTATTGTTTGTATTATCATCATCACTGTTATCTTCATCTTCGAAATCATCCATATTTAAAAGATTTAATGCCTCCTCGTTAGTTAATGGTACATCCTCAGAATAACCAAACTCATCTTCGAATTTCTCATAATCATTATTAATTTCAAAAATAAGTCCATCTTTTAACGTTAAATCACTAAAACATACATTCCATTCTGAATTATTTGACATTTATTATAATATTTATATTATTATAAAATTTAAATTCGCATACTTGATGGTAAATCCATCTCCTACATTTAAATATTTTGCCATTTTATATTTTACCAATTTAAATTTGTATGATTATAAAAACCTATTTCAATTATTTTTTCTAGCAAAATTCACTGAAAAGTCTGTGTTAAATAAAAATTTTATTAAGAATATCAATGTGGCAGTTCAATATTAAATTCTTTGTCCGTTCTGCTTTGAAACTTGGTAAGAAAAGAAATATCCTTCCTTAGATTCGCCACTACTACTGTTTCCTATCTATGTGTAAATTATATCCCTAGTAGTCAGTAATATCTATATTAACCAGAACAACAATTTAAGAAATATAACAAACTAGGGAAGGCACGAAAAGCAACAAACTATTTATAAAATATTTCAAATTAAGTATACCATCGAGAAAATCCGACTGCTAGAAAAATGATCAGAAAACTGCGTTACTCTTTGTCAAAAAAGTTTTTTTTACAAAGTCATCTTTAAAAACTACCATAATTTATGGAGAATATATCGACAAGGTTTCTAGGGATATTGTTTGTCAACATAAACAACGTAAGGTCCTCACCACGGATGCCGAAGTGTTCTTTAAAAAAAAAAATTAAATATTAAAACTTTTTTTATTTTTATTAATTAAAGGATAAAAAATACTTTATAAACAATTAAATTGCAATAAGCTTGCAAAATTATCTAATAATCTAAAAATTGCAAATGCTTTAAACAAGTAAATTAAAATTGTAATATTAACATTCATTGATGTTGAAAAGGTAAATTAAAATTGTACAAATTCTGCATACAATAGAAGAACTTTGAACATTTCATAACTTGATTATTTTATAATTCTGAATATTATTGAATATTATTCACACCTGTCCTGTACGGAATTCGTCAAATTCAAATATACTTAATAAATCTTTAAACTCTATTTTCTCAAAAACAAAAGCTTTAATGAAATTTTATTGTTTCTTTTCAACTCAGTTTTATATGTAGAATCATCTAATAAATCAATTGGCTCTGTATAATAATTATTTTACGATTTCTTTAATTGAATATTGAGCATTTGTTATTTCTAAAAAATTTAAAAAGCAGAAAACGTAAATTTAAAATTCATTTATAAGCGGTTAAAGAGTTTTGACATCCTGTAAAATTTAATTCTAGTTTATAAGTTAAACTCCATTGTAATTTTAAGTTTTTTTTTCTTGCAATTTATTGTTCAATAAAAATATTAAAGAATATACATATAAATTAGTTCAATTAAGTCATGATTCAAAAACTCCTGAATTGAACACACAACAACCAAAAACAAATTGTTAACAATATTGACATGAACATAATTCACAGTAAGAAACTATATGGTATGTCGTCAAATGTGGAGTATCGAACGATATGGAAAAAGTGAAGGATGAAAGAAATCTGTAACAGATACGTTTTATAATTTGTTTTCAAAGACAATAATAATTATTTGGGAAATTTGAAATAATGAAAGATTGATTTCTATTAACTTCGCAACATATTATCGTTCATACGATCCCATAGACGAGATATGTATTTCGCGACACAATATTGCTGGTACATACAATATAATATAAAATCAAGGACTGCGTGTTTCTTTATTAGGACAGTTTTAATTCGAATTTTGTATTAATTATTATTTTATTAAGTATTATTTATAATTGAACAAAATATGAAATATAAAATTATATTGACTTATATTGACTTTCGAAGCACTAAATATTTTCCATAGAAAAAAGAAATAATGCGGCGTAAAAATTTAACTAAGATTTGTTGAATATTAACAAATTTTTTAAAAGCATTCTGTCCATTGTTTGACTTTTTTATTGTGTATGTTAATATTAAATAAATATTTTAATATTGATTTTTTTAAGCTGTAGAAAAGACTACTATTACTTGCCTCTCAGACTGGCATGTTGTCCAGAAAGTAAGCGTGGTCTGTTGAACGCGATTCATCTCTCTATGTGAGCATTAAAAGGAAGAACCCTTTCCATGCTTACTTTATACTGTTTTTTTTCCACTAAACAAAAATCAAAGATATACCTTCATATTGTTTTTAAATAGAATATAATAAAATAATATAATTGTTGAGATTCCAGTCCAGTTGTAATTAACTATATTTTATATATATATACACAGGGCGTTTCATAACATGTGGGACCCACTTCGGGAGCTGATTGTACGCCTAAAAACAATGAAAAAATCATATAAGTACATGTCCTATCTGTCTTCGTTTATGAGATATAATGAATTTTATAAACAGAGCAAACTCGATATTAGACTTTATATATATATAATGATTAATCTGCACATAGTAAGAGAATCGGTTAAAGTCTGGAGAAAAAGAAGAGGGGAAAACGATTCAGGTGTCAAACTCGTGTAGCTCATAGAGAAGAAGATATGCATTGGTAACACTGAACAGGTCTGGCTTGATCAGCATATACGAAGAAATGAAATTGTTTATATTATTGTTAGTAACGGAATACATATTTCGACAAAGACGATAATGTTTAAGCTCCTATATTTTCATATACTTCTTCTATGACTGTATTCATTATTTGATCAATTTCGATCGTTTTACTTGTAGTTTTCCAATTCACCGTTTTTTAAGCGTAGAGTGCACTAAAAAATCACTAATTTTTTTACTATGTTGGTATTCAGAGCATGGGACAGAGAGTCCTTGTAAGATGGAAGGGTGGAAGTCCTATTCTGTGGATATATCTCATCTGTGATGTTCAGTCTATTCTATCTTTAATCAATGACGTAATATAACGTACAATATTTCTTAATATTTGCAAATATTATCTATGAATATTTTGTAAAATAATTGATTTTTTAAAAATTAAACTCTGAATGTTCGTTATTAAATATGCTTCGTATTTATGAAATATACCCTTTTTCTCAGCTAAACAATAGCTGCGCAATATGGAAAAGACGCAGGCGATTCAAATCTATCTATGATAAAATTCCTTTTTCAAAGGATTCATATTACTTATTAAATAATGTTAGCAATTATCCAACAGAAAGAGAAAATAAAAGTATAAATATCTTGATTAGACTAAACCATATGTTATATCTTTTTGAATTGACGATCGAATTTATTAATCAACATAGCATCTTTTTGAATTTCGCGGTGTCTCTTTAATGCCCTAAGCTTCTCTTGGAATCAACCAATGACTTGTTGAACAAAGAATATCAATACTTTCGAATGAATTCATTTCAAAAGAAACAAATAAAATAGCGATCAAAATCAAAAATCAAATGTCGTTTTGAAAGTTCATGATACGAATTATCAGTATGTAAATATAATAATCAAATGATCAAATAGAGGGCAAGAAAAATAATTCAGTAATAAATTATAATAATATTCCATACGTTATTAATACATTGTTGAGTGATTAAATCGTCTTTTCGTATAGAAGCATTCAAAAATTGCTGGCCAACTTTAAGTAAAAATGTATATGTAAATGAAGTTAGCAGTAATATGAAAGGATGACGATGAAAATATTTATTATGCAGTTAGGACATCTTAATTGAACAGTTTTCGAAAATAGATTAATCTCATATTTGAGATTGCAAACTAATTTACACAAGATGTATTGTTGGACAAGAGTTGGAATACATAAATAAGATTCAGTTGATTTATAGAAAAAGCAGTGTTCGCCTAGGATGTTTTTGGTAGTATTTATATATAATTTATATATAAATATTTATGTATATCTACTATATTATAAATATAATTATATTTATAATAATATATATATAATTATATTATATATAATATCTACTATATTATTATAAATATAATTAGTACATAATTAAATTAATTCTTTTATACAATTCTTTTTATTTTAAATTCTAGATGTTTTAGGCAATGTAAAAAATAAAAATTTAAATTGCTTTCCGCAAAAATTGGTACTTCTACGTTTCATTTTAATGGTATAAATTATCAATTAAAATAAATTATATCAATTGAATATTCGTAATATAATTACATATATACATATAATTACATATTTCTCCGTTTCATAAGTATTGTAATTTTTACTCAAAATCAAATTATGCCTGCATTTTATACGAAGACATATCATTTAACTTAAAATATAAAATAAAATCTTCTTCAGATTTTTCTCGTTTTTTAAACAAGAAAATTGATTTTTTTTTTTTAACGATTTGAAGTTTAAAACAAATAATCTTTCTTAGTTCATTAATTCAATGAATATGACCTAACTAATTAGGTTATATTTAATTAAAATAATGTTTCTTTTTATATAAGTTACTGTTTAAAATTATAGTTTCAATTGATTATTTGATAAAAACAAAATAATACAAATGAAAACACTGTTTAGAATTAAAATAGTATTTATATATCATGTGTGACAATAATTATATTATAATATGTATTGAATATAATGTAATTTGTATGTCGCTATAGTAAATAGAGGGCGTAAGAAAAATTGGTTTTTTTGTGTTGGTACTTCAAGATGTGAATCGTAAATAAAATTCTATCATTGATTAGGAATAATACACGATGTCGGTGTTCCATATTATGTCATGTTTATTCAATACTGAAACTTTGAATACATGAATAATATATCTATTCATATACAAATAATGATTCAAAATCGAAAGTGCAAAGAGAGCGTTACTTTCGCATTCCGTTTTCCTATATATTTCATCAGCTTTGCCGATAAGAAGATCTTCAACAAGTGAGGTAGCCATTTTTAGTCAAATCTTATGGAATCATTACTTTTATTGTACCGTTCTGTGACATTTTGATTTTTTACAGTATTTGATTTGTGATTCAAGAATAATGTATGTACAAATTAGACAATCTCAATGAAAATGAAATAATAATAATTTAAAGTTTGACCGTCATTTTATTTAAACAAAATAAAATTTCTTTAAATTTTTAGATCCTTGTAAACAAAATAAATTTTAAGGAAAAGTGAAACTGCAGTTATAGTTTCCAGTATATTCTTTTAGTGATTCGCGACAAATTAGTAAATAATTCAATTATGAACTTTATCTTTGTGTAGTAGGAATTATAATCATAATGGGTAATGCTGGAAGCAATCAACCAGTTAGTCATCATCACAGTAGTAACACAAACAGAGAACGTCATGTTAAAGAATATCCTCCACCATCGCCAGGGAAAGAAGGTCACGCTTTTGTTTTTGATAAAAAGCCAAGCCAAAAATTAGTTTTCCAATCGTCTCATGAAGATGAAGAATCTTATTTTGCCAAAGTATTTTTAATAACTCATTATTATTTTATCTATAAACTTCTAAAAAGTTTAAGTTCTATTTAAAAATTTCTTTAATTTTTTTTTATTAATAGACTAACACTCAACAAGATGGAGAAGAATTTAGTTCTCAACGTCCACGTTCTAATACAGTGTCAGAAGGAACCAAGGTAACAGACAGCAAAGTGCTACCAACAGTTTTTAAATGGGAGGGAGGTGGTAAACAGGTTTATATCAGTGGAACTTTTACTGGATGGAAAACTTTACCAATGGTTAAGAGTCATGGTGATTTTGTAACAATTATTGATTTGCCAGAGGGTGAACATCAATATAAGTTTTTTGTTGATGGTGAATGGAGACATGATCCAGATATAGTAAGAAATAATTTTTTCTAATCTTAAATAATATTAAAATATACATTAATTTTTATATGCTATAATTAAAACATTTGGTTGATAGAAAATTGTTGATAATGGTATGGGTTCCAAGAATAATTTGGTATCTGTCAGAAAATCTGATTTTGAGGTCTTCCAAGCTCTTGCAAAAGACAGTGAAAGTGTTACTAGTAGTGCTCAAACAGAATATGGACAAGAAATTCCTCCACATAAACCCTGGGAGAAAGTGGCTGGACCACCAATATTGCCACCTCATTTGCTTCAAGTTATTCTTAATAAAGATACTCCTTTATCTGTAAGTTTACAAAAAATTATTAACTATTATTATATTATATAACATTTTAATCTGTTACAAAATAGTAATATCATTTTTACCAATATCAATTTTAGTGTGAACCAACACTTTTACCAGAACCAAATCACGTTATGTTAAATCATTTATATGCTTTAAGTATTAAGGATAGCGTAATGGTTCTATCGGCGACGCATCGTTATCGCAAAAAATATGTTACGACTTTATTGTACAAACCAATTTAAGATTATTAAGTTATTCTCATAGTTATTGGCAACTGTTAGTTACATCGAATCAAGGCGTATTTTGTAGATAAGATAAAATATCAACGTTTCAAACATTTGGAAATTTCAAATATTTGGAAATTGACAAACCATAAAGTTTCTTGTATTTGAAATGTTAAATAATGTAATTATTATTTATTAAAATGAAATATTTTCCACTAGATATCTTGCATATATCATTTTCATTAATATATTTTATTCTATAACAGGTTTTATATATAATATGTTTTACTTTTAAATATTAAATATTTTATTTAAATCATATTATCAGTTATTTCCATTTGATCAGTGTAAGGAGGCTCAGATCTTGTTTTGAGAAAATAAGTTCCAGTAGTCATCTTATCAACATGTTCTCCCATCAGTGTAGTTTTAGAATAATTGCAACTTGCTTGCATAAATTGATCCCAAGTATCGCATTTATTCGCCACAAATCCAGTTTTAGAACCAATACTTTCGGTAAAATATACGTGTGCTCGACCGTGGCTACATGCTTCTATAGAAAAAGGAACATAAATATATTTATTTCTAAAATATATAAATAATTTGTTACCTATTATTTCTGGAATACAACAGCAACCAGGTTGAACAGGGGTTCCTCCATTTGGGTAAAAATCTACACTTCCTAAAGGTTTTAAATAACCTAAGACTCCACCACATGAATGAATAATATCAACAAATATAGCGTCCGTAGGATCTAGTCGAGTTTTATCCGATGTAAGCAAATGAAATCCTGGTAGAGCAGGATCTAAACCAGTTATTCTTCCTAAGCGTCCGAAAGTTACTAAACTTCCGGTATTACCAGCTACATGCGCTCCAAGAGAATGCCCTTTGTAAAATAATAATAAAAATATAAAAAATGTAGAATAATTACATTTTAAATTCATATTAATAATATATACCAAGAAAATGAATATTTTCGGTTTTAAGTCCTGTTTCTGCGACTAAGAAATCGATAAATTCAGCAGTTATTCTTCCCACTCTTTCTGTATTTCTCATTGGCCCAAGATAGAACGTGCTTGCAGCCAAAGGTTGCCAATCAACCATAATGATATTAAAATCATTATATTGTAAATATGCTATATAATTATAACACACGACAACGATTGTTTAGAATTATGCTCTTAAATGTTTTAAATTATAATACCTTCTTTCATATTGATGAGACCAGCACTCATTACACTTGATTTCCATCCATGTGTTATAAATTTAGTTTGTCGAGACGGATCAAAATCAGAGTTTTGAAGTCCTTTAGTATCATTAATATATAATTGAGAGCCATTTTCTGGAGTAGATCTTGAAATATATTTAGATTTCAAAGAAATTGTAAAATATATTTTTATAAATATATAAATTTTATTAAATACCGAGTATGAAGAATATAAGAAACTTGTGAGTCATCAAAAATGCCTCGTTCATCATTTTCTGTATATTTCAATACTGCAACTTGTGGTTGATCATTTCCATCAGGCATAAAAAGCCAGTCCACTCCATATCCATCATACCTTTCTCGCAGTCCGCTATTCCATACTTCACAAACCACAAAATTAAATAAAATAACAGACATAACTACAAAGTATGTAAATAAATTTAATATAATCATTGTTTCACTTTTAAATATATCGTACTTATTGTTAAAAAATTATAATAATATTAAAATAATTATGCAAAACTCTCACGCAATGAAGATTTTGATGCACAAGTATTTATATATCCGTACTTGACTTCATTAAATGACGAAAACTTCAAAGTACAACCTTATAAACCCTGACAATATCATACTAAATATAAACAAACTCTCGTACGGCCCAGTTTTTTTTTATTTTATCTTTACCCCGGTATCACATGCGGAAATACTATCAGGTGATTGTCTGGCGATGTTTTAAACATTATAATTGTATTCAAAGAGGTGCAGGTTTTTGTCCAATTAGGATATGCTTGTCGGATATGCTAGGTGTTTTCATATCACGTTAAAATAGTAACGCATACAAAATATTTAACAAGGTTGTTGTTTTCCATACTGATTATTTAAAAATTGCCTTTATCATTCAGGAAATCCATTTTTTAAGATAAATAAAAAAAGTTTCATATTAACGACTTTTTTTACAGGGAAATAACAAATTAGAGAGCAACATAAAAAAATTTATACAAACATAAAATACATTATACGTTATACATTAATGTATATCGTCGTCACGCAACACATTTTTTCATTTAGTTCAGTCATAATTGTTGAGTTTTTATATTACAATTAACAATGTCTTTAAGATATTGTTTTAATTGGTCATTCTGATTTTTTTTGTTATAAATTCAAATCAATTTTACAAATTTTAGCCGTATGTAATTATTAAAAAAACGGTTGATCTTTCGTGATACCAATATTCTTTTGTATCATTAAAATTCTCTGAAAAAATAAATATAGAGTTTTTCATTATTATAATAACATTTATAGTTATAATAAAAGCTACTTACTGCTTGGTATTGTAGTTTCTCCGAATTCCCCATCACCGAAACAACCTACTAACGGTACTTCTGGAAATAATTTTTTGAAAATAGTAGACTCCACATCCCGTTCATTGAACATATTTGTTCCACGTTCACAACATGCAAACATGAAACCCATGGAATATTTTCTTAAAGAAATATGACTTTTAAATGATTCCAATTTCTGTTCAACTAGTGCCTTAGTATTGCAATCATCATCCATAACTATAGACCATGAATCTACTGATCCAACTATAGTAATTCCAATACAATATGCAAATGTAACACATTTCTCATCATGAATAGGATTTTTTGAATTACATACATATAAATCCTTGACTACTCCTCCCCACACTGAAGGTCTGACTGTTGCATTACTAAATATAAAAATATCATAACATTATTATAATATATTATAATATTATATATTATGGAATTTAGAATTTTACCATAATTGTAATACACCTGCAGCTTCTCGTGCTAGAGCACGACCTGCTTGATTACAAAATAGTAGAAGGCATTTAGATCTATTTGTTTCATGTTTGGCAAGAGTTAATCTCATTTGTTCATAATATTGTGCAAAATCATTTTTTGAAACAATCGTAATTACTTTGATTGTTACATTAGGTATTTCAGGTAGAAATGCACACACTCTTTCTTCAAGGATTGTTTCCATTTCTGCATTTTCAATAAGTATACCACATGTGCCCAATGTTACAATTTCACAACTTTGTGGAAGAATTTGACAAAGACAATCTTGATATAAGCAAATATAATTATTAAAAGCAAAATCAAATGTGTATCTCAAAATGAAAAAAAATTGAGGCATAATTTAAATAAATACCTTGCCTAACATTTCTTTTATGTGGAGCTTTAAAAACTAATCCTAATGTAGGTTTGTTCCGTAATTTTTCTATAACTTTAAGATATTTTTTACCCCAATTTATTAAACAGATAGGACCTCCCCTAGTTCGTTTTTCATCATTTGCCACTTCTAACCAGGATCTGAAATACAAAGCCCTATATAGTAAAAACTACACAGTAAAACCTACATTTTATAAGTTTCTATGAAGCTTGTTTCTTTTGAATAAATAAATTTTTGACAATGAATTTTTTTTTATTTGGAATACAAACACTTAATACAGTATTAAATATTTTCACACCTGCAAACCATTGATGCATTCGATAAATCTATCCAATTCAGATATTTAAATACAATCCTTAAAATATCATAGGTTAAGTACCGATCAGTGAGGTGCTTTTTTCTCTCTTTAACATTCGGTGTATTACTATCGTCTTCATAACTTCTTTTTGTTGGTAAATTTTCCATTACTTGATTGTATAATATAATAAAATTGCTTTGTTTTTTATATAATTTGACAAACAGTTACTTTTTAAATGTCTCAACAGTTCAAACCACTATTTACGTATTTATTCTCTCGTTATGCTTGCTTATGTCATGAACAAGTGAAATAAACAGATTACCATTGTATTTATATTCCTTCTCTTTTCTTAATGTTTGATCTACATTTAAAGATAAACTTGAACTATATATTGTAATAAACAATGATAACAATAATATTGAAAGATCATTATTTTGAAAAAATAATTATGCCTAAGGTATATTAAATTTTCACAATTATCATAGAAACTCTACCACAGACATTGATGAACTTTCGCAGGAAAAAGAAATAACGTGTGTGATAGTAAATGCTAGCGCATCACATCTGAATTATGATCTTTCGTTGACGATTGTAAAAAATTTGAATGTAAATTTCTAGTTAAACATTTAGTTTAACTAAAATCCAATGGAAGTCGAAAATAAAGCAACAATTTTATCAAATGACTGTGGCAATGTTTGCCGTGTTTGTCTTGCAACAAATCAAAATAACCAATATATTTTCGATGGTAAGCGTATCGTTTTTGATGGTAATTTGATTAACGAAGATATAATTGATTTGTCCGAAAAACTTCGTTTGTGTACCGGTGTGGAGGTCAGTTTAATTCCAATGCTATTCTTTTTCCTCAAATTTTTTTTCTTTGTTTTCTATATTTTTTATAATTCAATCTTGATAGATATTGGAGAATGATGGTTTACCTTCCACTATTTGCACAAAATGTATATTAAAAATCAATGATGCCCATGAATTAAGAAAGCAATGTCAACAATCTGATATCCGATTAAGAGAATTGTATGGTAAAGTGGAAAAAATTTATAACATCAATTTATGTAAGACTACAAAAGTAAGTACTGACATATTTGTAAATAAGGAATGTAATATTACAAAATTGCTTAATTTTCACTTTATTATTTATTAGGATCAATATTGTCAGACTAATTATTCATTTACTTCTGATTTAATCAAAATTGAAAACAATTCATTTTCTGCAATGGGTTATAATTCCTATCCAACGGTAATTCTTAATTCTGATACTAAAGACATAAAAGATCATGAAGTGATTAATGAATCAAAGTATACAGAAGAAAAAGAATCCAATAGTAACCGAAATAAACAAAAAGCTTATATCAAATGTAAGCAAGCAGAATATGAAAAAAATATTACAGGGAAGGAAGTTTATCGAACAAGAAGAATGACAATGTTTAAAAGAGTAACATCTATAGAAAATTTAAAAAATCACAAAGAACGACAAAGGCAATATATAAAAAAGAATACAGTTATTAAATGGGATAATGCAGCAGATATAAACAAAGTAGATTCTCGAAGTTCTTATAATTGTCCAAAATGTACCAGGTGTTATTCCACCAAAAGGTCTTTGGATAGACATATATTAACTCATGACGAAAAAAAATTTACATGTGATAAATGTAACAAATACTTTTTTCAACTTGATAAATTAATACAGCATACTAAACTACATATTGTTAAGGAAAAACCTAAACCAGTATTATGTAAAATATGTAACAGAAATTTTAGGAAAACTGATACTATGGTAAGACATTTAAATGTTCACAAAAGAACTAATCCAAAGGAAGTCTTCTCTATTCTGAAAGAAATTAGAGATAAAAGAAAATTGGAGAACATAATTGAACCAGAAAAAAGAGAAGTGGGAAATAATAAAGATGAAAAAGAAACGGAGGAAGAAAATATTAGTGAAAGTATTACTTCACATGTCCTTAAAAGAAAGTCTTTAGAATCTAAAGATAAAAAGTCTAATTCTTTATTATCAGAGGTAACTATTGAAAGCTTTGATTCTTCTGATTATGAAGTACCTTATCGATGTAACTACTGTACTAAGCGTTGTGCGAACGAAAAATTACTTCAAAAACATTTACAGATTCATATCGAAAAAAAATTTGTTTGTAACGTTTGTAATATGAAATTCTTCCGACAAGATAGATTAAACAGCCACAAGAATCGATATGGACACAATGAAGATTCAGCATTAGAAATACAAAAACCAAGTGATGACAAGTCAGCAATTAAATTAATAAATAGTTGGATTCGAGAGGAACTTGATTCAGATAATGAAGAAAAAGGTTTTCCTTGTAAAATTTGTGGAAAATCATATGATACGAAAAAATCTTTATTGAAACATCAATTGAGTATGCATAATATAGGAGAAAACTGCACATCGTGCGGTCAGATGTGTGCTTGTGAGGAAAAGGAGAAAGACCAACATAAATCAAACGAAAGATTAAAACCATATCGATGCGGAGAATGTAATAAATCCTTTGAGAAGGAAATTAAATTGCAAAAACATATAAGAATTCATGAACGTGCTAAAGAACAACAAGATGTAAATTTTAAGCGATTTTTATGTCATATATGTAGCAAAACTTTTAGACAAAATACAGGTCTCATGTTTCATATGAGAACGCACACAGGATACAAACCTCACGTTTGTAAATACTGCGGAAGAGGATTTACGTCAAATTCTAATTGCATTAATCATGAAAGAACTCATACTGGTGATAGACCATTTGTTTGTCATTTCTGTAGTGCTGCTTTTGCCAAATCATGTACACTTAAAGCACACATTACAACACATACGGGAGAAGCAAATTATCATTGTAAAACTTGCGGTAAATCATTTAGAAGATTAAAGTATTTGAAAGAGCACAAATTTACCCATACAGGAGAAAAACCATATGCTTGTAAAATTTGTGGCACTGCATATAGCCATTCTGGTAGTTTATTTGTACATGAGAAAAAGTGTAAAGCACAGTATAACAGCTATCAATCTAATTCAACACAAAATATGCAAACTTATTGTGAATCCGAGACGTCTTCACCAACTTCTATTATTACAGTTTTACCGCAGGTTTATCTAAATAATACTAATGCGATAAACACACAAAATAATAAAACTTATATCGACAATATCCAAAAAATAAATTCTCAGAATGTTGTTAATGCAAATGCTGTTAACACAACAGATTTGCATATACATACGAATTCGGATATATCTGATGTTTCTTTAGCTGTTAAAAGTTTTGCTCTTATTGGGCAGATGTTTCAATCCTAGATTAATACAATGAATGTTTGAATTTCAAATACATATTTCTGTGATAAAGTTTTATTTTATAAATATATTTCAGTTGTTAAGTGAAAGATATCTCGCATTGATAAAAAAGAATGATAAATGTATGAAATGTTTTTTTATTATATTTTTAAATTTAAATGCTTTATTACATTATAACTCGTTGTATACTTCATATATTGTAATATATAAGAATGGGGTTTATTTTATTTTGTAAGTTTTATAAATGTATATAGGATTCTGCAATCAAGGTGAAAGATAAATTATTAAATAAAAAATTATTAAATAAATTATTAGATAAAAACAATCTTTTTCCCATTAGATCTTTTCTTATTTAATTACATATACTCTGGATCTTTTTTTTTCTTGTAAATATTAATATCAATATGCATATCTTTATATCGAGATTGATACATATCTTAATCGAGATGCAACTATCGATTTTATTGTAGGACAACCATAAAGTCATTGATTTAGCTTGAAGTTGGCGAATCTAAGTTGCGGCATTTCTGTAACTATATGTACTTTATGGAATATGTATACGTACAATAATGTGCTACAAGAGTTGGGAGTGATAAAAAGTGTCGTGTTTAAAGATGTATACAAGTATCATAAATTTTGCGGTTATCTGAACACGTTTAAACTACTCGAATATCTTTTCTTTAAATTTCATACGTTTCAAATAAAAATTTTAAAAGAATTACATTTCTTGTAAATAATTTGGTGAATATTCAATAAATTAATTAACATTAACGCGGTAGATTTAGATTAAATTATTTGCACTTTATTAATTTTTCTACCCGATTCTAATTTATGTAATTTAATGAATTCATCATTGTCGCATTCATATAATCAATTTATTTAGTAAGTTAATAAATTACCAAATAAAATGTTATTCTTGCGATGAAACTTGTATATTATACGTAGAAACTATGTGGTCAGAAATTGTAGAATATTTAAAAGATGCGTCTTTAGTAGCAAAAATACAAAATTGTTTTGGTGTTAAAATACATTATACTAGAACTTTGAAAGAACATTGTAAGAAAAATTCGTGTTCGACAATCCATGATACTAATTGTCGAAATACTGAATGCAATTCAAATAGTTGTCAATTTAAACCTGAGGGAGCGAAAGAAAATGGTTATACTATAACGGGAAAGAGATCTCTTTGTGGGGCTAAAACAAGTATATACACGAGTGATAAACAAGAACAATCATTTGTCTTTAATTCGAATCATACTATAACAAATTACTTTTGGTATTATTTGTTTTTATTTGGGACAGAATTAGGGGATGAAATATTTTATTCTACATTTATACCTTTTTGGTTCTGGAATATTGATGGTGCAGTGGGTAGAAGAGTTGTTTTAGTATGGGCTATTATTATGACAACAGGTATATTATTATTAAATAAAATTTAATAAATTTTATTTCTAAGTATAGTTGCATTATAAAATATTTGTATATAGGTCAAATATTAAAAGATGTTATATGTTGGGCAAGACCTGCATGTCCTCCAGCGGTTAGATTACAAGTAAAATGGTCAGAAGAATACGGAATGCCATCTACTCATGCTATGATTGGTATATCGATACCATTTAGTGTAGTATTATTTACAATGAATAGATATATCTACCCTGTTTCTATTGGTTGGACAATTGCAATTCTGTGGTAAGTGACATATTGTTCCCTAACAATAGGTTGATTAAAATTAATAAAAGATTTTAAATACAATTGTCATCATTTATTTGAAAGGTGTACACTTGTGTGTATGAGTAGACTATATCTGGGTATGCACACAGTGTTAGACATTTTAGCAGGCTTAATATTGGCCATTGCACTGATGATTCCATTAGTACCTTTAGTGGATTTTACAGATTATTATATTCTTTCAAATATTTGGGCTTTAGCAATTTTGATTGCCATTAGTATAGCCATCATAGTTTATTACCCATGCAGCAGGAAATGGACACCAACCAGGTAATTTACATAATAATTTTAAATTTTACAAATACATCAATTTGGTTATGACGGTCAGTTTCTTATTCTAGAGGTGATACTACTATGGTAGTATCTGTTACTACTGGAGTTCATTTAGGAGCTTGGCTTAACTATAATACTGGAGCTATGATAGCTCCTATAAAATCACCACCATATGATATTATATGGCCAACTTATTCAATGTTTGGTTGCATGATACTTAGAACAATACTTGGATTTTGCAGTGTTTTTGCAACAAGAATTGTTTGCAAATCTCTTAGTTATGGAATAATGTGTGCCATATTAAGAGTTAATTCTAAGGACCTTATGAAAAGTCAAAATTATTCTGAAGATAAAAATAAGGTTCTTGTTGATCTAGTCTACAAATATGTGACTTGTTTTATGATAGGTGTAAATACAGTATATCTCTTGCCAAATGTATTTTCCATGATCGGAATCGAACGACCGACATTTTACACAGAAATATAAAACATTTTTTTCACATATAAAAAGGGTGCATTTCTTTTAGTATAAAATGAATAAAAAATTATAGTCGTACAAATCATTCCAATATCAATACTTGTGATATTGCTTTTTATGTATATACATATAGATATATATAAAGGGTTGTCCAGAAAATAATAATACCCATTTTAAAATAATGACGATTTCAATGTATTTTAAAAAGTTTTCTTTATTTCTAATCTTTAGTATATATACTTAGTTATTTTTCAATACAGTCATCATCCCCCTTTGTATACTTATCGTAACGTGAGACGAATTTTTATATATCAACCTTGAATTTACATAATCATGTGTTGTACGCTGTACTTTAAGTAGTCGTTTTCAGCAACATGTTGACTCCACAAAAACTCAAATTTGTAAAAAGATAACAATTATTCAATCCAAGTATTAATTGTAATGCGGCATTCTTTTGTACTAGCATTTTCAAAAAGTGTATGGCAAATTGCCTTCCGTTATAGGTTGAATAATTAATTCTCATCATTACTTCAAACGCATGAAGCAACAACAATACTAGTTATTTAATATAAAATTTGGTTTATGTCAACATATGAAGGAAACTACCTAACCTTCTAGAAATACATTTCATAGTTATTATATGTAAACAAGCATTACTTTCTGTGTAACCTTCATTGTGTATATATAAATGTATAAATGTAGTATATATATTTGTATAGTTGTTACAATGTATGAGTTAGACATCACAAATCTTGTTTCACATTTGTTAATCTATATTGTTCATATATATTAAAATTTTGTTTTGTTGGTAAGAGAAATAGATTGAAATAATTAATAATAAAATTTATATTTTACTTTTTTACAATATAAATAAGTGTTAAACTGTTTTTTGTTATAATAAAATAATTGATTAAATTAACTTGTTTTAATGTTTCCTAAAACTGTTTCCACAGGCATATCTAATCTTAATATCTGTGAAAGATATAAATAAATTGTTGTAATATTATAAAGAAATTTAATTATAATAAATTAATGTTCTTACTCTGTAATTGTTGTCTAGGACACATTTTGTTTGTGTTATATTTATGATATATGGAACTGATAAATCATATGTGAAACCAGTTTTATCAATAGTAATTACGATACGATCTTGATTAAGAAGTACTTCTATCTCCTCTTTTGTAATCTGATTTAAATGAAAACACTAATAATTAGCCAATATTTACATTGAATATAAAATTTGAATTATCTTACCCCACTAGGTATTTGAAATAAACCAATCAAATGTACAGATGTTTCTTTTAAACATTTCAGTAATGTATAATTCTGTTTTAAATTAACAACAGTATCTGAAGAAACAATTTTTAATTTATTTTTATTTTCTTCCTCATAAATATCTTGAACAGGAGTATTAATTTCTTCAATTAATTGTTTCTCAGTTTGTGTGCAAGTTCTTGGCTTACGATCTTCAATTCTGTGTTGTTGTAATTTTCCTAAAACCTGTTTAATTTTTTAAATTTAAATTTAAGATTAATTTCATCTTATTTACATGTATTCAATTAGAAAATAAACATACTTTTTTATTTTTAAGAATTACGTAATCCTCTGTATTTAATGTTTTGTCAAATTTGTTTGATACACCATCCATTACAACTGATATCGTGAAAAGTAAAAAATTTTTATTTGTTTGGCATTTCTCAAAATATATTGTATTAATAACAATATCATATGTCAAACAAAGAGATCCACCTAAAATATTACATGAATTAGATCAATTAGTATTATTCTTTTCATACAATATACCTTTATCAGTTTCAAATCTTTCACTTCCAATACTCATAGGTATGACAAATTCTGGATTTTCTTGTGACAATATTTCAAAAAGTTTTGCATCTGATATATCATCAGGTGATGGTATTTTGTCAGATGTACATATGTTTAAGAATATTTTTTCTCCATTATCACTTCTTGTTTTTACACATATACCTAGAATATACATATAGGAATTATATATTTGATGAATATTGTTGTTTTTATTAATATTACTAATAGAAATTACCTGGTGTAGGTTGAATAGTGAAGAAAGGTTTAAAATTAGATTGTTCTTCTAACATATCATTTTTTGGTGTATTTCCCTATGAAAATAAAAGATTTACATAGATATTGATTTCAATACGAAGTTCAAAAATTATCGTTACTTACAGGTAGTATTAGGTTTTTCATTAATATTGTATCATCTATATCTAAGAATGTTGGGTTATTCATGATTAATATTTCTATTTATTTACAATATAATATTTCCTAAGCAATATTAGAAATAAGATATTTTCGTATAATTTTTACTTTATGCTTTTCAGGTATGAGCATCGACTAAAGACAGAACTGACATTATATGAAACGAGTCTCACGTTCTGAAATATTCTGAAATCAGTTTTAAAAGAATTGTAGCGACCTCTACTTCGAAGAATTTAGATCAACGACATCTATGTTCCGTCGAGATGTGTATTTAATATAAACAATAGAATATTTAAAAATAGCTATTAATTTTATTATCACCATGGAAATGTTTACTGACACTTATATATATTGTAGCCATAGTAGAAATTCTTCATTCGTTATTTAATTTTCATTCATAGAAATTATTCGTTATTTAACTTCTATTATGTAATCTTCATTAAATTATTAGTAATTATATATTTTGTGATATTGATAATATTTTTATATAAACGATTAAAATTAATTACGGAGTTATTATTTATTTGTAGTATTGTGATATAAATATAAATTATCATAATCACTACAGAATTAGTGTTTGTTGCCCTCTGCGATTTGCAACGGCGAACATATTTAGCTTAATCAAAGATGCATTGCACAGACGAGATATATGGATAGACTTGACGACAGACGAGGTATATGAATAGACCTCGCATACAATGTATTTTTTCCCATGATTGAAAAGTCTCAGGACTCCTTTACCATTTTCGTGTCACATTCTGTCATACCGATTCGGGCAAGTTTTGCACTGTAGCACTAGTAATGAAAATTAAAATTAAAAAATATGGACAGTATTGCCACATCTGCTTCGAGAATTATTTATTGAATTGAACGTGGTGATATTTCATCAATGAAGGAATATAATGATTTAAAACAAATTGATGGAAATTGTGATGAAAAATTTATTATATATTTGATTATTTACATCTAATTAAAGGTATTAGAAAAAATTGATTAAAATATATTTTTTAACAATATAATTAGATATGATGTTTTTTATTTATTTTAATGTGTACCTTCAGAGTTTGAGTGAATCCTGTAAACTCGATTTTATAAAAGCTTGGAAGTATCAAAGAAATTCCCACAAATATTGTTTGTTATATATTTGGTTCCACAAATAAAGTTATATTGTGTGGTGTAAATTATTTTGCAGATCGTTCGTTTCTGAAATTCTGAAGTCATTTGTTAAGACGAATTCAATGACTTGCATATAAGGTCATTTGTTGTTATAATTAAAAATTAATGAATTATTGTTTAAAACTCAGTGAAATGGCGAAAACAAATCATACTGGTAGTTTTAAGGACTCAATGTAAAGAGAAGATTTCAATTTTCAAGATCACAATTGATCTGATCATAAAAAAGTTGTTCAATGATGGAAAAACTTCTTTTTGGCGAGATGTTTGAATTTTTACAATTTTCGAGAAGAAAAGTATTTTTATTTTTACACTTGCTACATGATGTAAAAGTAAATATTTTTGAACGAAATAAACTCAGGATTATTAAAGTGGAAACTCTACTCTTTAAAATAAAATCAAGTTAATTGTTCTACAAATTTTTTCATGAAATTATAACCGTTTAAAGTATTGACAATTTTTTATCTTGTATATGAATGTTTTCGTTCTTCTTTAAAAATGTCTCATGACTTTTGTGTATTTGATTTAGACCAGAGTTTTTTTTATTTTTTATTCCAAGTCGTCATTACGTACAAAATGAGCGATTACAGCGCCCCAACGGCGAAATACATAACGTACTTCCTACGATTCTCGAAATAATCGATATTTCTCATGATCGATTTTTAAACGGAAATCATGGCGGAAGAAAGCATTCCACGTTTGTAAAGGAGAAAGTGTTATTCAGAAAATTCATCTAGAAAGAAGTACTCAGGTAAAAATTTATCAATAGTTGTTAGATTTATGTTTGTGTTTTGTATTTTTAAAATAAAAGGTGCATTTTTGGCTCGAACTCAAGGTATCATTTAACCAAATAATTATTACATATAATTTTCAACAATTAAAGAAATAATAGCATATAAACGTTTACACAGAATATACTATGCTAAAAGTTAGTTATAATTTTATACCAAAATTTAATTTCAATTCTAACCAGTACAAATATTGTAACCTTGTAATTGAGTAACTTTGTTACACACTAACTAACATTGTTACGTATTGTTATATATATGTGTATCTATATATTTGTACTGATTAGAATTGAAATTAAATTAAATTTTGGTATAAAATTAAATACAGTAAAATTATTATTTTAACTATTAAACATACATTATTAATAAATTATTGTTGAATTTAATGTAAGAATTGTTAAGAATTACGCAATATGAAATTAAAGAATCAACAAATAAATAGAAAATGTTATAATAAAAGTGTAATAATTTTATTATATGTCTTTATATATATATATAATTTTATTATAACATTTTTTACTTATTTCTTTAATTTCATATTGAGTAATTCTTAACAATTCTTATATTTCTTATATTAACTTCAATAATAATTTATTAAGAATGTATGTATTTAATAGTTAAAATAATAATTTTACTATATTTAATAGCTAAAATAATAATTTTACTGCACAATATAATAGAAGTTTTCATTTCTCAAATAAAACAAGGCCTAGAAGCTCGAAATCCGCGTTCAAAACAAAATAAACATAACGCTTACGTGTCTGTATAAGGCTCTTAATGTTGCACTTGTTTATTCTCGTGATTCCTTTTTGACTTTTTGTTACTACTTTGTCGATACAAGTCGAGACAAGTCATTTAGTACTGAATTTTGAGACAGTAACACGTGTTACATTGCATTGGGTTCGTAACTTTTTCTAATCTATTGATCTTTCGCGTCGAAATCGAATAAGATTTTGAAGCTTTTCGTGCTGATTTTTCTTCGACCATTGATTTTACTCTTACGATTACCGGTACCTTATCTCGTACGCTTTTTTGATAAAATTTGAAGTTGATTATCGTTTCATTTTTACATATTTGTCTCCATTTGACATATTTGTTTTAACTTTTTGTTTCTTTGTGTGCAGATTATTCCTTGGTTGCAAAGATAGACGCCACAATCATTAGTGGACAATCTGATGAACTTTTATGGAAAGTTGATAACATTTTATTCATTCTAGATAACATTTGCTACATAATTTCTATATATTTGAAGTATAATTCACAATACATAATTTCTTAATTACATGGGATAGGAAAAAGATGAAAATGGAAAAGATTAAATTAATTAATATTAATTAATATTATTTTTCGAGTATAGAGATTATAGTAGCGTAATGGTACATGCTTTCAAATGGATATATATTCTTGTGTTAGATTATTAAATTCAAAATTTTCGTACTTTACTATATTGTACTGTGCTATAATATATTTTTTCCGAACGCTGACACGCAATTAAATGATTCAGAGCAAGATTTTGCACGTGTATGATTTTTTAAATACATTTAGCCGTGAAATTTTGATTTACGCAAACATTTTCGAATATTTATAACGACGTTATATATTACTAACGTGCATACTTCACTTTAATAATGAACATTCAGAATACAGTTTCTATAAATATTGAGAAATATTTTATAATTTCCAACTAATATCTTTAATGCATACTCAAGTTTATAATCATTTTCTAAAAAAAATAGCAATATTTTCT